GGAGGGAACTAGCAAGAAGAGAGAGAAAGCTTCCGCGGGGGAAGGGAATCAAGGTGACACCAAGAAGAAAGGGGAGGCTGAGAGCACTTTGGAGGGAAGGCTCAGGGACTCTTCCAGTGAGATCAGCGGGGAGAGTGCAGGACCTCCGCTTGGCACGCCTACTCTGCGCAGAAGGCTTCCGCGCAGAGAAGCTAGGAGGAGACTGGCGGTCAAGGAATATTTATGTTGGAAGAAGTTTAGGAAACGCCCACTAACGGATTCTGCCAGCGACTGAAGCAGCCGCGCAGGAGGGCTGTCCAGCCAGGGAAAGGTTTAACCACCCAAGCAGCTTGGAGCAGTTGGTGGCTTACACACAAGCAACTACAATTCCCATTACACATTTAATAATATACAATCACATCATTGTTATCCACTTTACCTCTCGGGCTCTTTAGAGCCCATCAACTTCCTTCCCTCCCACCTTATGGCTTTCAAAATCATCCTTTATATCATTGCATTTTATACGTTTTCCAATTCTGGTTTCATTCCTTACAAAATGACATTAAAATTTAGGTTAAAATAAAAAGGGAGAACGTTTCTCATTACGGGTCTTCAGACAACCCTGCTAGTAATGCTAAATTGCTTAGAGTAATATTTCAAATATCATATAAATTTACTCCAGTCCTTTTGGAATATTTGATCATGCTGGTTTTGGATTTTTCCTGACAGCTTCACCAGTTCTGCAAAGTCCATCATCTTCCTCTGCCACTCTTCTTTCGTTGGTACTTCTTGTTGTTTCCATTTTTGGGCTAAAAGAATTCTTGCCACTGTTGTTGCATACATAAACAGTCTTTTTATCTTCCCTTTGTATCTCTTCATCCACTATACCCAATAAAAAGGCTTCTGGTTTCTTAACAAAAGTATTTTTAAACATTTTCTTTAACTCATTATCTATCATTTCCCAGAAAGCCTTTACCTCTTTGCAAGTCCACCTCACGTGGTAAAAGATACTGTGATGGGATAATGAGCTGCTTGTGCGTAAAATGCAAGTCCCTCAGAGTTTGGTCAAGTTCTCAAACCTCTGCCTGCGACGGAGCCCCTCCGGCATGGCTGCGTCAGTCGCTAGCAGAATCCGAAAGTGGTCGCTTTCGGAATCTCTTCCAACATAAAAGCTCCTTAACGGAAACACGTCTTCTGGACTCTCGGCGTGACAGTTTCCGGCGAAGAGTGGGTGTCCCTATAGGAGGTCTTGAGACCTCCCCACTGTTTTCGCTGGAAGTGTCTCTGAGCCATCCCTCCGACTCACTTTCCCTTGGAGTCCCTTCTCTCCCCCTACTGGTTCCCTCTTCAGCTGCTACGTCTCTCTCAACCTCAGTGAGCCTTTCCACCTCCCGTCCTTCCGATGGCAGTTCCCTGACAGATACCTTCCTTTTCTTTGCATTTCCAGCACTCAATAGTTCTTGTCCTGTACATTTTAGCAAGTTTAGATATCTAAACTACAAATGTTATTCCAATCCTGTTATTTTAGGATTTTAACTGTTTACAATGGTTTTTAAGATAGATTATAAATTTTCCCATTCTTTTTAAAAATTTTGGTCTTCCTGATTTCTGATTCTTCTGGTCATTTTAGCCATTTCAGAATAATACTCCCATTCAGTGGTAGAGCACCTGCACCTGCTTTGCATGCAGAAGGTTCCAGGTTCAATCCCCGCCATCTCCAAGTGAAGCTGGCAATGTCCCCTGCCTGAAACATTGGAGAGCTGCTGCTGGTCATTGTAGACCAGGGTTTCCCAAACTTGGGTGGCCAGTTGTTTGAGGACTACAATCCCCAACTGGAGACCCAAGTTTGGGAAACTCTGAAACACTGAGCTAAACCGACTAGTCTGGTTTTTCCCCTTCCAAAAATATATATCCCGAGTCTGTTGATACTTCTCTGATATACTGAAGGGAAAGTTGTGGCTCCCCAGATGTTGTTGGACTCCCATCAGCCCCTGCCAGTATGGGCAACAGCCAGGGATGATGGGAGTTGTAGTCCTCCATCCCTGTGGTAGGAAAAAGTAGTTTACCAGGGATAGAGGTATTTAGCAAAGGGAGGGCTCATCTACATTTACCTTTAGTCCCATTCTTCCTAGGCAAAGGTCTCACACTCTGTGCCTGAGCAGCTACTAGCTAAAAACACTGTGAGGTGCAGAGCCGGATTTAGGTTTGATGAGGCCCCAAGCTACTGAAGGTAATGGGGCCCTTCATATGTCCAGCTGTCCTTTGTCAACAACAAATGGTCGCTGTTTTTTTTGTGTTGAATTTATGCTATATGGTAATTTATGGACCTAATAGGTATCTAAAGCCATTTGCACATTTTGCTATGCAACCAGTCCATGCATAATGTAGGCACCCTATATATAGAAAGGAGCAAACCAGTGATATTTTAGGGAGCAGGCTAGCAGGTGGGGCCCATTACTTACATCATAGGAGCCTACACAACACAAAACACTGTTGCTGAATGTAGGTTTTATTTTATTTGTTTTGTATCTTATATTTTGGAAATGTGCATCCAGGTTTTTTTCCTTTAATTTTTTTGGGGCCCCCCAAAAGAGTAGGGTCCTAAGCTATAGCTTGTTTAGCTTATACGTAAATCTGGCACTGGTGAGGTGGAACAGCCACCCGAGCTCCTTTGACAGAAATCACTTAGAAGAGTAGCCATCCTCTCAGAGAATTACAGAATCGTAGAATTGTAGAGTTGGAAGGGACCATGAGGGTCATCTAGTCCAACTGCCTGCAATGCACGTTTGCATCACACTTGTTAAGTTGTGGGTGAACATATCAGACGACACAGCGATTCTCCACACAGCTCTTGTTTATTCACAGGTCAGAACAGAACTGAACTGAAGGGTTCAGCCAGCCTGCTTATATAGAGCTCCAGTACAACGTAACTGTAACAACTTTCTGTAACTATCCAATCACTGAACGTCACTTTCGATCCCTTATTTGCATATGTGGACCTGAACTATCTACAGTATTCCGCTGCTGGCCCAGGGTGAGAACTTCAGTACATAACAACACTTATCCCTATAGGAGGGCTAGAGACTTTGTAAAAAGAAAGAAAAGAAAGAAAGCACACAGTTTGAGGCCTCTGCCCAGGGCCACCAATTAAAACCTTCGCAGGCACCCTGGTTCCTGCAAGCACCAGGTTGGCAACCCCTTCAAAAGGCTGTGGGTCTGCAGGATATCAGACTGGGGCCTCTCATAGTTCTACTTGTAAATTGTAGTTCCGGGGATTCACTGGGGAAAGTCATGCACTTCAAATAGCTCAGTTGCTTAGAGCATGGTGCTGATAACGCCAAGGCTGCAGGTTCAGTCCCCGCAAGGGACAGCTACATGTTCCTTTATTGTAGGAGGTTGGACTAGATGATCCCCAGGTTAATCAACTCTATGATTCTATGAAATGTGTGTTAAGTGTACTTCGAATGAATGGCATGGTGCATGTGGCCATAGTGGAGCACACACATCTGTAAATGTCATCCACCAAAGTGACCATGGCCAACTCAGTCCCCAGACTGAGCTGAGTCTCAGCCGCCCATTCCAAACCAACAGATTTCGGCGAGGTTCTTGCCAAGTTAAACAAAAAAGTGTGGAAGCCAAATTTCATGGGGTTGCGTAAGAGGAGGTTCAGGATTCCGCTGGACGGAGCCCAGAGTAGGAGTCTTAAGCCTGTACAGACCATTACATACCCCAGAGCCAACATTTGTTCATTATTATTTGCAAGAAGGGGAGTGGAAACAGATGGTGCCCTGAGGGAACAGCTGACGAATAGTGGTCTCCGTTGAACATAACAAAATAATTTATAATAATTGCGGAAACGAAAGGAAAATGTGAGCAAAGGGGAAGAAATGAATGAAGTGGGACAGTATCTGGGAGACTTAAAGAGATGGATATGAGTATTAATGCACCACTGTTATGAGATGTGGGTGGCGCTGTGGTGTAAACCACTGAGCCTTGGGCTAGGCGGTTCGAATCCCTGTGAGGGGGTGAGCTCCCATTGCTCGGTCCCAGCTCCTGCCAACCTAGCAGTTCGAAAGCACGCCCAAAAGTGCAAGTAGATAAATAGGTACCGCTCCAGCAGGAAGGTAAATGGCATTTCCGTGTGCTGCTCTGGTTTCTCCAGAAGCGGCTTAGCCATGCTGGCCACATGACCCGGAAAAAGTGTCTGCAGACAAATGTCAGCTCCCTCGGCCAGTAAAGTGAGATGAGCGCCACAACCTCAGAGTCGTTTATGACTGGACTTAACTGTCAGCGGCCTTTTACCTTTTTTTATTTTAAACTGCAGTATGTACTGTTGTATGTACAGTGGTACCTTGGGTTACAGACGCTTCAGGTTACAGACTCCGCTAACCTGGAAGTAGTACCTCAGGTTAAGAACTTTGCTTCAGGATAAGAACAGAAATCGGGCTCCGGCGGCGCAGCAGCCGCTGGAGGCCCCATTAGCTAAAGTGGTGCTTCAGGTTAAGAACAGTTTCAGGTTAAAAACGGACGGACCTCTGGAACGAATTAAGTACTTAACCCGAGGTACCACTGTATTTGTATATGTGCTGCTTATTTTATGGAACCTAGCATATTTTTATATTGCTTTATTTATATTTTATACTGCTTTATGCATGTATTTTATATGGCTATTTATTTTATATCGCTTTTATATAAAGCAGTGTTTTGTGGGACACACGTTTTCTGCTGCATTTATACTGCTCTGTTTCATTAGGAACAGTTTTATTTCGCAAATAATTGTAGCGTTTTGTCTCTTTTTACAACTGTGCATTGTAGTCTGCCCTTAGTCCTTATGGTGAAGTGTAGTCCGATAAGCTCTGTGGACTTAAGGCTGAAGAACACTGCTCTAGACCATATTGCTTCCTTGCCTTCTTGCTTGAACATCGCCATGAGTTTCCTACCAGACCTCTCACATCTCTGCATATTCCCAGAGTTAAAATCATGCCGACAAAGTGAAGTTTGCAAAAAAAAAGCTTTATTGATTCTTAAGCAAAAGTGCCATCATTTTATTAGGCGGTCAAAGTAAACCTGATATCAGGTTGAGCAACACTGAACTGTGAAGCCAGGGAATAAGCCATGCCAAGGAATTTTGCCCGAGAGCTTAAATGCGAAGTTTCTCCCAGAAGCAGCATAGGGAGGGGTTCATTTTGCTTCAGGCACCTTTTAGGCCTCACTAGAAGAGAAAATTGTGAAGAAGGCAATGTGAGTGTATTTATGTTTCAGTGAGAATCTTCCCAATGCTTCCCGCAGCACTGTAGAATTTCATTTAACACGTAACGGCTCAATTTGCAATGACTTTGCTCTCTGAGTGTAATTAATCAATTACTCCTGGTTTTACAGCCTGCTTATTGCTACCAGATGCTATTTTTTCTGTCTGTAGGGAGTAACTGCCTGCCTGCCATCCAGCCTGCTCTCTGGGGAAAGGGCTGCATGGCAGGAGCTGCCTTGTCCTCCTGGCCCAGACACTGTTACTTTCTCTGCTCCTGGATTTGATCTGGGATAGAAGGATGCTTCCAGGGAGAGGCTGCTCTTTTTAAAAGACAAGAACTTAGAAAACTCCAAGACCTGTAACTTGAAGAGGTTGAGCCTGCTTTTCCATCCTTCCTCTTATTCCTGGTTTCGCCCCTTTTGTGTCATGACCTTTTAGACTGCAAGTCTGCAGGCAGGGATTTAATAACCAATTTTTGTAAACTGCTCTGAGTGCCTTTTTAGCTAATGAGCAACTTTCCATGGCCTTACTTCTGCTAAAAGACTGATACTGATACATTGGAAAGATAATACAGTGGTGCCTTGGTTCCCGAACGGCTTAGTTGTCGAACAAATTGGCTCCAAAATGCCGCAAACCCGGAAGTGAGTGTTCTGGTTTGCGAACGTTTTTCGGAAGCCAAATGTCCGATGCAGCTTCTGCTTGAGTGCAAGAAGCTCCTGCAGCCAATCGGAAGCCGCGCCTTGGTTTCTAAATGGTTTTGGGAGTTGAACAGACTCCCAGAACGGATTAAGTTCGAGAACCAAGGTACCAGTGTACCATGCCCCCCTTTGAATGAAGGATCGAAGATATGACCACACTTGCAACATGCAAGTGGATTTCTTTTAGACATAGAGTATGTATGGATAAATACAATGATATTTGAAATCCATTTATTCAAAAAGCATAATGACTTCTTAATAGGTATATATACTTGTTAAAATAATTGCAACACTTACATGTCCTCTTTGGTCAAAGACCTTTCTCAGAGCCGCTCACTTAGCACAGAATTCCTCCTCCTTCCAGACAGCAATGACCTCAGACAAGCTTCTTGCTACCTTCCCACTGGGCAGCTTCAGGTCATCAGCACGATTTCCGTTGAAGTTCCCGCAGGAGGCGCAGAGCTTTCCTGCCAGGCTTTTACAGACTTGCATCTTCATTTCCCCACGAGGTCCGAGCAGAATTTTTACTTCAGAGGCCAAATGAATAGTTATCCCATCTTGAGAGAGGCTCACGTGGGCATCTTCAGAGACCTTTGCTGGGAGTGTAATTTTGCGCCCATTAGCCTGAAGTGCAGAAAAGGAGAGAGAAAGGTGTTGGGTTAATGGGTGGAGCAGGGCAGGGAAACCTTTCAGCCTGAGGGCCACAATCCCTTATGGGGGGACCACATACCAGTGGTAGGCGGGGCCAGATGCAAAAGAGCCGAGGCAATGGATGGCTGCACACTTATCTTTGTATAAGGTAAAGGGACCCCTGACCATTAGGTCCAGTCATGACCGACTCTGGGGTTGCGGCACTCATCTCACTTTACTGGCCGAGGGAGCCGGCGTACAGCTTCCGGGTCATGTGGCCAGCATGACTAAGCCGCTTCTGGCGAACCAGAACAGCACATGGAAATGCCGTTTACCTTCCCGCCAGAGCGGTACCTATTTATCTACTTGCACTTTGACATGCTTTCGAACTGCTAGGTTGGCAGGAGCAGGGACCGAGCAATGGGAGCTCACCCCGTCACGGGGATTCGAACCACCAACCTTCTGATCGGCAAGTCCTAGGCTCTGTGGTTTAACCCACAGCGTAGGCTATAATTATGTTAATTGTGTGTTTTTTATATGTTGGAAGCAGTCCAGAGTAGCTTGGGCAACCCAGTCAGACAGACAGGGTATAAATAATAAAAGGATGATGCTTGAATATGATGTTCCTTCTCTATTATCCATCTAGGCAACCAATATGCATTATTTCTGCTGAAGGGCTATGATAAGGGGTGCGGCCAAGGAAGGGGGAGTGACCCAGGAAGAGTCCCATGGGCCAGATAGAGAGGACTGGATGGCCTCAGTTTACCCTCCCCTGCTTTGGTCAATGTGGTGATCTCTGGATGCCGCTCAACTACAATTCCCAGCGTCTCTCACCTTGGCCAGGATGCCTAGTTGCTTAAAGAAGCCTGTTGCTCTGTTGGTGAAAGCCTAGCAAGGCTTTGCACTTGAGCAGCACACATTAAAGCAGAAAGTATTCGGCTGACGTCTACTCAGGGTAGATCCACTGAAATGAATGGACCTAAGTTAGTCCTGTCCATTGTGTGTGACTAACATTGGACGCAAACCAGGATCCTGCACCGGGAACTTACCCATGCCTCCTTGTTCGGTTTTACAGTGAGAAACAGGCATTTGAAAAAGACATGTATCGTTGTCACCGCTGGCAAATCCCAGCCGTTGTGTTTGTCGACAACTGCCACGATCTTGAACCAAGAGGGGTCACTGCCATTGCAAAGGGTTGCAACCTCATAAGCCCCTAGATAGAGAATTTTCCCAGAGACACCGTCAAAGGAAGTCAAGTGTGCTCCAGGGATGACGGCACACTCTCCGTTCTGCCTTATGCAACCGCGCACACCGTTATGGAGGGCACAGATTTCTCCTTGCTGGCAACTATTTTCTGCACAAACCAGTTGGCCTGATGGCGGCAGGTGCATTTTTTCAAGCAGTCTTCTGAAACAATATTCTCTCCAGCCTGTAAGATTTACAGCCCAAGAGAGAGGGAAGGGAGAAAAAAGAATTAAAATTTAAATGCAAGTGTTTTAAAATATTATTATTTTTAATTCAACATGTACAAGCCTGAGTACTTAGAATTACCTCTATAATGCTACAATCTAGTACACCAGTGCTGCATAAATGATAAATTGATAGTAAAATGGATATTAAAATAGGTCACATTTTGTACTTTAATACATTTACTCATACTATTTTCGCATGAACTCTACGCCGTGCTAATCAATGGATGTGAAACTGACATAGACCAGAAAGAGACTGATATATCTATCCCTGTTAACAGCAGAGACATTCAATGGGGCAGAGAATAGGGAAGAATCTAATATGGATTCTTCGAAGGGTCCAGACTTATATGCCATAGCATGCTGCATATAACATTATCAGGATCACACAAAGTCCCATAAGCCTTTCAGATTTTTCTGGCCCCTTGTCAAACTCCAAAATGGAAGCAAATAACTCCCCCTCCCCAAATACAATGGGCAGGTCTGGACTCAGTCCATCCATCCTCTCACTAACTCCTTTGTGCTCAACATGTTTGGAGGCGAAACCCTGTTCTTCAGGGGTCAAATAAAGCTTTGTTATGCGTCAGGGGTCAAATAAAGCTGTGGTTATATAGCTCTGTTGGAGCACAGCCTGGACAAGGAATAGAGTGCCCATCTGTCCTCCTTTGCAGTCCTATGTTTGAAGGCATACTCTATTTGAAGGCCTGTCTACTGTCCAATATAAAGAATCATAAAAAGGGAAAACAGGAATTATTGCCCATCAGCAGTTCAGTGCAGATCAGTGGTGTGCCATCAGTGGACTAGGGGGGACTAGGCTAATCTCTTAAATGTTCCCCTGCCACCTCCTTCCTGAGTCCTGGGAAGTTTCTGCCCAGCTTAGGGATGGAGGCACAATGCTCACCTGCACTACGTCTCCCCCCATGTCACCCTCGCAAGCTGGCACCTCTGGCCCTAAGTGTTCCCCTAAGAAAAAATTCACCAGATGCCACGGGTGCAGATCACTTGGTCGCAGCCTCTCCCGCCCTGGCACAATGTATTGTATTCCTACTTAAATAATACTAATTATTTCAGATGTTAAGTTTTCTTGTGTCCATCATCTCCAAGGATTTTCACACAGCCAGTTGCTTATTACAGGTTCCACCTCTTGGCTCCTCAACTCCCCAAGGAGGAAAGTGCTTTTCTTATCAAAGGTTCTCTGCTGTGATGTGCAGGCCTTCTTGGTTACCTTTGTTATAACCTCAGATCTCCCTCGCCACCCATCTCTTTCTCCTTCCCAGCTGTTCCTCTCACATCTGCTTCCCTCAGCCTCCCTCCTTGGCCTCTGCAACAGCCAGCTTTCTCTCGCTGTCCTCCCTCTCTCCTTTAGTACTCTGCCCCATCAGTTTTGCTGGACCAGAGGCTGCCTCCCTCTATTCTTATTGTATCTCCTTTGCTCCACAATCTTGGCCTTTATCAGCAACTCTTCCTCCTTTTCATCTCTCTGTGTTTTGCTGCTGCTGTCAGCCTCACCAGCTGTCCTTTATGAGGCCAAGGTGGGTGTGAGAAGGTGACAGCCACCCTTTGACATGGTGCGCTCCTTCAAGCCTCTCACTTACAAGCATGCATATACCAGTACATTCGCTTATGTTACTGTTGTGAAAATTTGAGTTCAGCACAAAGCAATGCATGAGAGGCAATCCGAAGGAGGGAAGAGATACTAGCCCTTGCAGACTCACTAAGGGCTCATGTAGACTTCTGCTTGTCCCTTGCCTAGATGTTTTCCACTTGTCCTGTGCTTTCCAAGCTGTTTTGCCTTTGCCTCACCTCTTCCCCTTGGAAAACCCTTTCTATAATGCTAAATTGGAGCAATCCGCAATCTGCAGAAAACCTAATTGCCATTTGTTCCAATTTAGCTTTAAACCATGGGCTTTCCTGGTGGAAAGCGGCAGGGCAAAGGGAAGTGTGAGTGAACTCTTAAAGTGACACACACATACACACAGACACAACAGTTTCCACAAGTGCTGGACTTACCTTGATGTAGCGCCCGTCATGCACGCAGCCACAGTTCTCCATTGCCATGCACCTGTCACCGTCAAACAGGTAGCCACTGTCACACTGACAACCTTCAAAGCATTTCTTTGAGCATTGGCCCGGAGTGGACAAACTGGTGCAGGTGGAACCACAGGTCCTTGTACACAACTCGTAGTGGCTGTTGGGTGGGCAAGTGAGAGCTGAAAAGAAGGAGAGAGGGGACCAGGGGTTATAGGAGGCAGGAACAGTCCAGGCGTTCTTAAATTCTGAAGCATTTCATCCATACAGGACACCCCTCCACTCACCGTTCCATCTCTGGCTGCTTTACTGTCCCATATCAGGGTTTATTTTTAAGGGCAGCAATAAAAGGACATAGGTGCTGCATCATCAAAATGAGGGCTGGATAAGCAGGCCAGATCTTTATTTTCCCCAACCCCGCAGGACAACTTTGACAGGTGAGTGGGACCTCCTACCTGCCCATCATCTGATGTCATAATGATGTCAGGTGCTTCACACGTGTCAAAGTTGAAAGAGCTTGCAAAGCGCTTTGCCTAGTGTGTCCCAAACACCCAACAATCTGCAAATTGACACAGGACTGGGAATCACACAGTGCTTCCAGCTGGTGGTGGAGCATTTGGAAAGCCCTTGCACAAAGCGATTTGTAAGTCCTGTGCTCAATGCTTCTCAAATGCCAGGCACAATGTGCAAATCTTGCAAAGCTCTTCCAAAGCTCCTGGAAAACCATGACTCAGTTAGCAGTGCCTGCAAAGCCCCTTTTGGCCAAGCCTCATTCTTACCTGTGCCACACCTGACATCATAGCTGATATCAGGTCTATGCGGGGCAAGTGGGTGTAGTTTAACCAAAATGGCTTAATAGGCCAAATGGAGCAGTGTGGAGGGTCTCATTTCTCACCCTGATCTAAATGCCAGGCTCTTCAAGTGTCCCTATTTTCCAGGGACAGTCCCGGATTTACAGAAGCCATCCCGGTTTCTGATATGATCCCAGAATGCCTTGCTTTTCTTTAGGACATCCCTATTTTCATCCCTGGGACGCGGGTGGCGCTGTGGGTAAAAGCCTCAGTGCCTAGGGCTTGCCGATCGAAAGGTCGGCGGTTCGAATCCCCGCGGCGGGGTGCGCTCCCGTTGCTCGGTCCCAGCGCCTGCCAACCTAGCAGTTCGAAAGCACCCTTAAGTGCAAGTAGATAAATAGGGACCGCTTACTAGCGGGAAGGTAAACGGCATTTCCGTGTGCGGCTCTGGCTCGCCAGAGCAGCGATGTCACGCTGGCCACGTGACCCGGAAATGTCTCCGGACAGCGCTGGCCCCCGGCCTCTTGAGTGAGATGGGCGCACAACCCCAGAGTCTGTCAAGACTGGCCCGTATGGGCAGGGGTACCTTTACCTTTACCTTTTATTTTCATCCCTATTCATTGGAGGGAATGGAGTTATGCGACCACCAAGCCAAGGAGATAAGTAACAATACAACCTTTAGAAGACATCTGAAGGCAGCCCTGTATAAGGAAAGTTTAATGTTTTATTGTGTTTTTATATATGTTGGAAGCCACCTTGAGTGGCTGGGGCAACCCAGTGAGATGGGTGGGGTATAAATAATAAAATTGTTGTTATTATTATGGAGCAGGACATCCCTATTTTCATTGGAGAAATGTTGGAGAATATGAAATGCTGATTTAAATGTTGACCATGTTCTCCCATTGTGCTCCTCCCAATGGCATATATCAAAGTGGCTGTCTATTCTGTTACCGTGGAGTAGCCAACTGTAACTGCCCTACGGTTGTTTTTGGACTCCAGTTCCCATCAGCCCAAGTCAACATGGTCAATGGCCAGAGTTGTTGGGAGCTGTAGTCCAGCAGCATATGCAGGGCAACATCTTGTCTAATATAGTAGAATGAATATTTTAAGCATCAGTGTGAGTGGGTGGGATAAAAAAGAAGGTGGTACTTCAGGTTACTGAGCAAACTTACGGCAGAAGCTGTTTGTTCTCCAGGCTCCAATTGTAACTCCTGCAGCCTGACATATAGTGACGTAGGCCTGGATGCTCCTACAGAGAGTTTCTCTGGCACCATTGGCTGCACACATGTCATACAGACAGTGGTTGAAGAATTCAGCCGGGTCTACCAAGGAGTGACAGTTCCTGAAGGGGCCGGATTTGGCTTGGATCATTCCGCAGGAACTCTCCGGTCGGTACGGCGCTGTCTTGGCTGCATCACAGATGGGGCATTTATCTCCACAGCCATCGGAGCATCTGACACCATCAATGGGAACCTTCCAAGAGGCCCCAAACTCGATCACATTCTGGGTGCTTTTCCCCGTAGGTAGAGTAAAGTCATCGGTCCTGTCACTGTTGAAATTACCGCATAGGCCAGTGACATGTCCCTGGTAGTTACTGGGGACAGACACCAAGATGTACGAAAAGGTATCAAAAAGGACTTTGAGACCAAAGTCAGACTGGAGAATGATATTATTGCCTTCCTGGTTGGCCCAGAGTTTCCCATCCTTTGTCTTCATGGGCAGCGTGTAGAGCTGTCCATCCACCTGCATTAACCACAGAGAAGGTGACCATGTAAGGTGACAGTTTTAAATTACTATTATTTATTATTAAATGGATTTATCAACCACATTTTTTTGGGGGGGGGATACCTCCTAACACAGTTTTTGAACTAAGGGTGTCTGCAGGCTGCTACTATTTTGCAAGAGGGATTCAAACACATGCCAGAAATTTAAGTTTGCTTAATTGAAGCAGATTAAAGTACCTTTCTCCCCAGGGCAAGAAATCCACTTTTTTAAAAAATGGACTTTTTTCAGGTAGGAAAGTGATGGTGAAATCCACTAAAATGTGTGGAATGAGCAAATGTTTAACAGGAAGATGTGTAAATGCCCCTCAAGCAAATTAGGATGAATACTCGGTGACATATGACCTGCCTGAAAACAAATCAGAACAAATGCTCAGTGAAGATCAGACATAGTCTAGCCAGCGCACAAGATTTGTACAAGAAAATCAGGATGGTTGCTCAATAAGGTGGTCATCTGAAGGAACCCTATATCAACACAATATTGATGCATCAAGTATCAATATATCAAATATATCAAAGCACAATATCAAAACCCCTTTTAAATGTTTCCTTCAACAAGACCATTAAAAGCAAGCATAAAACATACAATAATAATAATCCAGCACTACTCTAATATTTCAGAGCCAGGCCACATAATACCATTACTACAGCCCAAGTCATAATTTGTTAGCTACTAAAGGCTACAGTCAAAAGGGAAATCCTTAAGGTCTATTTGAAAGAGCTGAGGAATGGAACTTGCCTGTTCTCACTCAGGATCAAATCCCACAGCTATTGTATAATTGCATGAACACATGTGCAAAATCCATGCAACCATACCCTCAGTATAATCAAAAGCATCTTTAAAGTAGAGGTGGGTGAGTCCCTCAAAGCTCTTCTTGCATTGGATTAAGATTTTCCTGAGTTCCCCATGGAAAGAAGAACAGGAAAAACCTGGAAATTGTCCTGAGTTGTTCCATGGGCTTGGAATGATTTTCCTCCACACTCCTTTCCTTGTCTCCACTTAGCAGGAGCAACAGCTACAGAATACCGAGGGGAAAGCAGAGAGAGGTTTTCCTCTCCTACCCTTCTCCCCTCCCTACCATACTTGCTTACAGTGTGATGGGGCAGAAATTTGGTCTTGTTTGCATTTGAATGCACCTCCCAGAAACAACACATGAAGTGAAATGCAGCTCCTCTAAGAAATGATCAATTCTCCAGATTTTACAATGCAGTTCTCCAACCAATGCATATGTGTACAAAAACACATATATTTGGGGAGAATGTTCATAAATGTAATTTACTGGCCAGAATAACATATGAAAATACATTCTGTTAGGGAACGTTGCTTGCCAAAATGTGTATATTATTTATTTTATTATTTAAAGAAGTTATAAACCACTTAATATTTTAAAAATCTTTGAGCAATTGAGACTGCGTATCACTAAAATGTTGATGGATTTCTATGAGGATTTTTAAAATAAAAAAAATCACATATTGCTGAAGAAATCTGGAGAACTGAACTTGGGGAAAATGAGAAATGGAGGGAAAACAAAATTAGCAGATTAGTCAATATTTACTGATAGGGAATGGGGGACAATGGAAGATGAAGTTCTCCCCAGGGAGCCTGAAACCGTGGGTGAACTTTGTCACCATTTCTGCCATGAAGAGACAAAACCTGGAATAGGACTTACCTTGAGCTTCCATTTCATCGCCCTCTCAATGACAGCGGTGTATCCATGAAAAGAGACTATAAGCGTCTTGGTCAATGACCTGTCATTCTCCACCAACACTGAGAAGTTTGCCAGCTGAGAATTCTTCCCTTGCAATTTAGCTAAAGTATAAGTGCAGGTTCCTTGGAAGTTGTAGGCCCGTCCATCAAAAGTTACGTAGTGGGAGCCCAAAGCCAAACTGCATTTCCCGCACCCTACCGCATGGCAGCCTGGGACACCATCCTTCACCCTACATTTTTCGTGGGGCCCACAGGAGATTTTCTGGCATTTGACAACTCCATTGTCTGCACATTGGCATCGTTCCTGGCAAGAGGAACCAGGGTAGAAAACCTCTCCCTTCTTGTAGTAGTTGCCCTGGTGCTCACAGCCACAACTGCCAACAGGGACACACTGGTCCCCACTCAAGACAAACCCAGGCTTGCAATAGCATCCTTCCTTGCAGGACGTCACACACCCCTCAGGAGCCGAGAGACCACGGCAAGTGGCAGGGCAGCCGTTTCCGCAGAGCTCGTAGCGAGAGTTCGGTGAGCAGGCAAGGCCTGGAAGAAAGGACAAAAACAGAATGTGGAGAATTTCAAGCTAGCATGTGAGTTACTTTGGCAGACACCTGGTTCTTTGGACACCTGGAGTTGAATAGGTCTGTTGTGCTCTGTTGCAGATTCTGTCTACAGAGTGACATCTGCTGGTTAGAGCAGATCCTAGTCTGACTAAAAAACAGCTTTCTCATATGGCAAACTCGCGACTTCATGCATTTAACTTGTGTACGTTCAGCTTTATGCTCTTGGCAAATAAGAATAAATAAATGAAAAGGGGGAGGAAAAGGGGCTCGGGTTCCAGGAAGAATGACTTGGCAATTCCACACACCAATAATTCATTAATTCATTAATTCATTCATTCATTCATTCATTCATTCATTCATTCATTCATTCATACCCTGCCTGTCCAAATGTGTTTTGATTATAAGCAATTTGACTTTTGGTGTGATCCCCAGAATGTAATCCCTGCATAAGTTGTGGGCTTACTGTATTTCCCATGTTACTGGAGTAGTTGAACAACATGGATGTCTGTCTGTGCAAAGCGTGTTCTCACTAGCAGAGAGCACGTGTTGCGGTTGGGGAGCAGGCCACCATCATGATTAGGCAATTTTGGGAACCCAAGATGAAAGGGTTAATTGGGTTGCTGGGGAAAGTTGGGTGTTGCAAAATTGGAGGAGGGGTTTAGAGTCTATAAATTGAGGAGCTAGACTAGGGGACTTCCTCTTGGCCGTTTTGCATCGGATCACCCGCCCCCCCTCCCTTTTATAGGGTGGTTCTTGGGTTCATTTGACCTTGCTATGCCTGTCATGGGGTCGTTCGCCTTTGAGCGGGGGCCTGGTAGGAATTTTGCCATTTGGCTGATTGGCTCTTGCCACTTGGTTTTTGCCTACTGCGTAGCAAATCGTCACAACTTGTAAGGTTGGCGGTTAGGCATTGGTTAAATTGGTGCTTGGAGGGGTAAGGTGCCTATCCCTCCAAATGATGCGAATGGGAATTCCGTTAAAGGAATCCAGGGGCTTGCCATCCTTTCGTCCTTGTCCGTGGAGACGGACTTGGGCCGGGCAAGACCCCACCGGAACATGAGGGTGAGAGGTGTTGGACTGCATTTACCCAGCCTCATTTCTCCCCAATACTTGTTTCCCACGCTGGCTTCCGGTGGTGTCCGGAAGTGCCAGCGCTGTCCTTGGGGGGGCAAGGACATAGTCATAACCAATGCCTAAGCAACCACTCACATTTTCTGTATTTAAATAAAGTTGTGGCCAAAATTATGCCAAAAACCTTAAACAAAAATTAACGTGTGCTGTGTGAATTTTTGGGGGGGTGGCACTGCGGAACTCAACACGCAAATACTACTATCACTACTACTATTACTACCTGGCTTTGTCCTGTAACACCTAAAATTGCTGAACAATACCAAGCACAGATATTAAAGATGTAACACCATTCATAGTGTCTAGATGGATCAGACTAAGATTGATAGTGCTGCCCAGCTGTTCGCTGGGGTCAAGACTAAAAATTGGACAGAAGTGAAGCAGGGGCATGAATGATCAGGGTTGAAATGAAATTGATGTGGAGATCAGTAAATTCAAAACACTTGAAATCTCATGTCAAATTTCTTATATGACCTTTTTAACAGAGTGGGTCTTTCAGGTGGATCTGAATTCTTAAGTGGTCTGTACATGCCAGGACATAAATGTTGGCTGACAAGTCCAGAGGATCAAACAAATTAAGAAATATTCCAAGTAGTCTTTGAAATCTATACACTATGGGTTGCATCCAACTAAGCTGTACTCAAAGTTTCCCCACTGAAATGAATGGACCTGAGGTAGAATTTCCGATATTTATAGTTAGTCTGCTCTGAGCATGACTCAAGTTAGTACTGAAATAAAAACATTTGGAGAGAGGAGAAATTTTACTTCCAAACCTCAAATTTTACACTTGTCAAGGTTTTGTGCAATTTGTTTTCAGCTCATGCACCTTCACATTTGGCACACAACTCCCTACAGCAAAACATGGTAGGGGTAAAAGGTACTTGGTTTAATCCTTAGTATATCCAGATACAACTAGCAAAGGGCCCCTGTCTGAGATGCTAGAGAATGCTCTGACTTGGCATTAGGTTGCTCCTCATATTCCTATGCTAAAGCAGCACCAGGAGGTGATACTTACTGCAGAAATTGTTGGATCTCCATGGTTCAATCACAGCTCCCAGGTCCTGACACGCTGCCACATAAACACCAATGGCATCACACAGAATGCTGTGCCGGCCACGATACTGGCAGACGTCAAAGATGCAATCAGTGAAGTAGGGTGTTGGGTCGATGAGCTGATGGCATTGCCTGAATGGTCCGTCCTTTTTGATGAGGACCCCACAGAATCGGTCACCCTTATAGGGGAGTTTCTGTGCCTCTTCACATGGTGGGCAATTCTCTGCGCAACCTGGTGTACAACCAGGGACCTCTGCCACCTTCCAGCTCTCTGCAAATTGGGATATGCTAGACGTTTGTCTCCCATCCTTCATGATGAAGTCATCATTGGGGTTCAAGTTGTTGTTGCCACAGAGGCCACCAACGGCATTGGCGTATGCACTGGGTACAGTGACTCTGGCGTAGCTGTTCCAGTCGAAGGTGACAATCAGGTCAAAATCCGTCTTGATGAAGCCATGAACACCACTGATATAAGCCTTTATCTTGTCTCCTTGGTAGAAAGGCAGGTTCACAAAAATGCCATTAACCTGGAATGTGATGCAAAGGAACCATCACCAGTGCTATAGTAAGTATCCAACATTGGTGAACACCAGTCGTCCAAATAAGTAGACACAGTTAAATTAATGAGCATGACTGAATCTATATCCATTAATTTCAATGGGTATATTTTGAGTAAAACTATCACCGCTGTCAAAATGCAAGAGCTACTTCAATGAGTGTAAATTGTATTTTGCTGTGGCAGCACCTGCACTTTGAAACCTCCCCCACCCCCTTGACATCAGGTAGGTAACTTTTCTGTATTTTTTTTTTTTTTGTGCTGGTTTAAAACAATTTGGCTCAGGCAAGCTTAGTAAGACGCATAGATGGTGACTTGCTGTAAATTCACTTAAGTCTACTATTAATTTTAAGCATTTTTAAAAGTGTTAATCAGTTGTAGCTAACTGTTCCATTATTTCATGTAAACCACCCAGAGGTTTCATTACAATCAAGTGATGTGTAACTTCTGTGAAATAAATGAAAAGTTTACAACATTGGCTAGCCCCCACCCCCACTCACCCTTGGAGCCACAGGCACCATTTAAAAGGATCCTGTAATGATCCAAGGAACCAACACAATGATCCAACTATTGCCCATGTCGGTACCTGGATTCTTTGTGGATACTCCTGGCTCAACATGATGGTTGCATTGTAGACTTTCAGAGTCACCACCTTGGTGTAGGAAACTTCTGTGTTGCTGCTCCGGTGGTTGTTCTCCACACTGACAGTGAAAGGCTTGAGAGTCGGGTCATTAGAGGAGAGCCCAGCCAGCTGGTAGATGCAGGTACCCATGAAGTCAAATTTCTTCCCATCAAAGGTGGTATAGTGAGGGTCCCCAGTTGCTATGCATGTAGCAGAAACACTGGGGTGACAGCCCCGGACACCGTTGACCACAGTGCACTGCTCACTGGCTTTGCAGCCAGCTGGTTTGCACACCGCAATGCCCAGGGTGGGATCACATGTGCAGCGGGAACCACAGGTCTCATCAGCCCAGAATTCTTCTCTAGGTTTGTAGTAGAGCCCATTGTAGGTGCAGCCACAGCTCCCGACAGGCACACACTTGTCGACGCTGAGGACGTAGCCATCGTTGCACTGGCAGGTTTCCACGCAGGGCTGTTTGCAGGCAGAGGGAGCCTTGCGGTCGGCGCAGCTGGCAGGGCAGGCATTGCCACAGAACTCATAGTGGCTATTCTGAGGGCACGGCAAGGCTGTAAGGAGGAGAACAGCGGGGGTCTTAAAACGGAGAGAATGCGCTAAAGCTTCACGTTGGCAAAAGCTGATGTAATTAATGTTAGACGTACAGGTACTTTGGAAATTTATGGATGAAACAAAGCTGCTCTTTGGTGTGGGAGAGGGTGCAGCATAAAATAAGATTCAGCTGTCAGCTTCTGTATATATACATGTTAAACAGAATGGGGAAAAAGATGGAACCCTGTGGGACACCACAGGCAACTCCCATGGCACTGAACAGAAGCCTCCCATGACTACTTTCTTGAAATGGCTCCAAAGATAGGAGCAGAAACACTGAAGTACAGTGCCACTAAACCTCCACCTCCCTGAGATGCTGCAGAAGGATCCCAGGGTCAACAGTATGGAAAGCCACTGAGATATCAAAATCAAGGAGAATGAGCAGGATTGCACTCCCTGCATTCAGTGCCATGACCTGGCCTAAAGCCAAACCAGAATGGATTCCAAGTAATCAGCTTCCTCCAACATGCATGAAGCTAGACCGCCGCCACCTCCCCAAGCACCTTGCCCAGAAAAGAGATATTTGCTACTGGCTGATAGACATTGTAGAACTTCTGGTACCTCGCCCTTCTCCAGTGTAGCATTAATCACTCCTTGGACCCACCCGGTCAATCCCTTATGGCTTGTTTGAAGAAGCCAAGATGGGCAAGCACGAAGGAGGCAGGTGGTCGGCTGTGCTTCTTCAAACAGCATGTCCATATCCACAGGCTGCAATAATCTATAGGCCTTACTGAGACGACTAAGCTATTGTGTTTCTGTATAGAGGAAGAGCACTCACCACAGCCAGAGGTTGTCCTCCAATCGTATATGGTGGCCCCTGATTTCCTACAGGTTTTAGCATAGGCCTCCAAGGCCTGGCAAAGCATTTTCTTGGTCCCTCCGTTGAGACACACATCATAAATACAACTATCAAAGAAGTCATCTGGATTCACTTTGGCATGGCATTCTCTGAAGGGCCCCCCTGAGGTTTGGCTGATCAGCCCACAGTAATCTTCCTTTCCATACCGCTCCCTCTTGCTCTCATCACATGTTGGGCAATTCCCTTGGCAGTGATCCCAACAAAAGGGGTCCCCGTCTTTGACTTTCCAGCTGCTGGCCCAGCTTTCGATGGAGGAAGCCTTTGTGCCATTGGGGTAGGCCATGTCATCTGCAGGGTTTTGATTGAAGTTTCCACACAGTCCGCAAATGGCCCCATAGTAACTACTGGGGATTGTGATAAGCAGATACCAGTTATAGTCATATGATACTTGGAGGCCGAAATCTGTTTGCAGGATAGCATAGGAACCACTCTGGTACAGCTTGATCTTACCATCTTCAAGGGTCAGTGGCAGGCTGGTAACGATGTCATTTAACTAAAGGCAGAATGGCAAGACAGAACACACACAGGAATTATTGGAGGCTTTCTAGAAACCGTGCCATACAATCCCACAAAGCTTTAGGTTGCAGTTCCAACTGCACATACCTGGGACTAAGCCCCATTGAATTCAATATGACTCATATCTGAGTAGATTTGGTTAGAATTGTGTTGTTTGATGTTAAAGTTGTCATGGGGACCAGTAGTATATGCAGTAGCAGCGCTTGCCTGACCTCCCATTGCCAGCATCACTGTGGCTTATCAGGAAGGGGAGGGTCAAGGGGTTAGTGAGGCTGCAGAAAGGCAAACACACCAATGGTGCCAATCCAGTGCTCCTGCTGGTGCATTTTCATTGCACTGAGCTTGCTGTGGTCTCAGCCCTCCCATGAAGCCACAGTGACACCAGCGACAGGAGGTTAGATCAGTGATGCTGCCCCATCCCACTGACCAATACTGGATTTAGTATTGAACAGAACAGCCTATTTTCAGAAGAGTTTTGACAACCCCTTTGGGGTTCTTCTTCTTCTGAGATGTCATCTTCTAAGATGACACTCTTCTAGACTATATCTGTAAAAGGTTGGAGTGGGATATTTGACATCAAAGTTGGCTGTTTGTAGGTTGTATTCCTAAAAGAGAGACAGACAGATAGACAGAGACACACAGACAACAGCTAAACAGAGAAAGAGAAAAGTTCCCTGTATGGAAGGAATTACCCTTCATAATGTAACCAGGGAACTCTGCCAAATCCAGCCTGGATGTTTTTCTTATTTAATTGGCTTGGCGTTGTGCCTTTGTATTGGACTACATTTGTACTTGCTGGTGGTTGACATCATCCTGATTCATGTTTGCTGAGCTGAGTCACAGCCACCTTCTAGTTCACTGACGTCTCTGTTAGCGATGGCTCATCTCATCCCAAGAGACCATGACTTATTTACATGATCAAACAACATTACGCACAACAAGGCCTTGTTTAAACATAGGCTGGAAAATCTGCATGCATGAGGAACCTGTAGGCCACCCAGATGTTCTTGGACTACAGCTCCCATCAGCCCCAGACAGCATGGCCAATAGTCGAGGAGGATGGGAGTTGTAGTCCAGCAATACTTGGAGGGACACAGGTTGCCTATCCCTGACCTAACCCATTGATTGCAGGTGACGCACAAGGAACTGAGACCTTTGCTAACTACCACTATCCATTGTTCTGCTTCGCATGACCAATGATCTATTTTTGGTAGCTTAAACTGTTCAGTGGTCCTTGGGAACATTACTTGGCAAGCCAGACAAGTCAAGTGAACACTTCTGGTTTGGCAGAGCGTTCACACAAGGGGATCCATAACCAAGCCAACTCCAAAAGTACTAACAGCTGCTCATAACCCAGCTTGAACCCATGAACTCAAGACAAGGATTCAAATTGTGTGTGTATTTATGCACCATTCAGTTTTCACTTTGCAGCATTTATAGCATCATTATTTAATGTAATGCAAAGTTGTGTGTTGGCGATTACCACATTTTTCTGAATTGTATAGATATCTGAATTCTTGACACTGGCCTGCAATCATTGGCCTCTATTCCCCCTCCTTATTGTTTTTGTTCTACATTAGCCCAATATTAAGGGACGGGGTGGCACTGTGGGTTAAACTACAGAGCCTAGGGCTTGCCGATCAGAAGGTCGGCGGTTCGAATCCCTGCGACGGGGTGAGCTCCCGTTGCTCGGTCCCTGCTCCTGCCAACCTAGCAGTTCAAAAGCACGTCAAAGTGCAAGTAGATAAATAGGTACCGCTCTGGCGGGAAGGTAAACGGCATTTCAGTGTGCTGCTCTGGTTCACCAGAAGCGGCTTTGTCATGTTGGCCACATGACCCGGAAGCTGTATGCTGGCTCCCTCGGCCAATAAAGCGGGATGAGTGCCGCAACCCCAGAGTCGTCCGCAACTGGACCTAATGTTCAGGGGTCCCTTTACCTTTACCTTTTAGCCCAATATTGGGCTTTCAAAGTGCTGTATATCGGAATGAATTCCATCACACTCAGTGGGGCCATTCCCCCCTGACTATTTAACATACCCGGATTTTTCCAATTTCCAGTTTGTGGATGGAGATCTTGTACCCATAGACGTAGATGTTGGTCAGACGCACGTAGGACACAGCCTGGTTGCCCCTGTTGTCATTCTTCTCATCGATAGTGAAAGGCACCAGCGTAGCATCATTCCCACAGTACTTGGCAATAGTGTAAGAGCAGGTGCCCATGAAATCAAACTTCAAGGTGTCAAAGGTGTGATAGTGTGGGTCCCCCCAGCCCCAGCAGCTTCCTGAGAAGTCTGGGATACATTTGGCTTGGCCGTTCTCAATCCTGCATGTTTCCTTTTCTCGGCACTTCAGGGATTTACATGGATCTGAAAAGGAAGGAGGAAATATGAGAAAGTGCTAAATGCTATTTAGGGGTGGCAACTATCAGTGGAGAGGTGGAGCTAAGTTTTAGGCATGGCGAAAGACAACAGGACATCTTCTTGCCAGTATATCTGTGCCATGAACAACGTTCAGGGCTGATGTAAATTGTAGTTCAACAACATCTGGAGGGCCACAGGTTGCCCATCACTCTCTTGAACGAATCTTTCCTTACCCTTATTTACACATCTCAAGACACCATCTATGGTTTCACAGTTTTCATTTGCTGCACAGCTATGGGCTTCGCAGATAACCCCCTGGCCTGGGATGCAACGGCAGCTCTCCTGGCATACATTCTGCAGAACCTTTTCGTTGGGCTGATGGGAAATTTGGGAAAAAATAAAATGTAGTAGTGATAGAATATGGGCAGAATCAAATCTACAGATGTAGGTGTGTATTGCTAATAGGGCTGTACAAAGACCATCCATGGAATGGGAAGAACTGCCCTGTGTGTCCCCAGGGGCCAACCAGGTGTCTTCTGGTGTCAGAGACTGGAATGAAGAGACGGAGGAGTGGTGGAGATCGCCTCCCCCATCTCCTGTAGCTGACAGGGGAGAGAGAGACAGTATTGAATTACAGCCAAGCTATGAGGGAGATAACAAAGCAAAGACTGGCGAGCAGCCAAGCTTATATGGAGTAAGGAGACGTAAGGGGGGAGATAGAGCAGCCAGCAAACACTTCAATAGACAGCATAGAGGACCCTCCATCCCCTAAAATGCGACGGTCATTAAGGGTACAAGAGCAATGTACGCAGAGACCTTTGGCAACAGGAGGCTTCCGTAGGGACCGATGCTGTTGAGGAAGGGGGAAGGAGGAGGAGCTAGAGTGAGCAATTCAATCATGGAGGAAAGACTGGAATGCTTTGTCTGTTACCGCAGTGACTGAATAAATCATAAGTAAAAGCTTCCTTGTTTCCTCCTTGAAACCATCGGGATTGGAGGGAGAGAATTCCTCAGGCCTAACATCTGGCTGCTTTCTTCCTAAGCCCTCCTGGCTGTTCACCTCTTTGGAGCTATGTAGGCTACATGGCATGTCCTGCCTCTCCTAAACTATCCTGCTGGAGGATTTGATTTGAAAAGGAAGGGAGGTAGATAAGGTTCGGAAAGCCACCTACCTTGTAGTAGCGTCCATTCTTTAAGCACCCACAGTCTTTTGCGGAGACACAGCCAACACCGTTAAAGAAAAAGCCATCATTACACTGGCAGCCCTCAGCACAGGTCTCCGGACATTTCGTAGAGTCTGTGATCTTGGCACAGGAGGTGGCACAGAGCTGGGCGCAAATCTCATAGTGACTGTTGGCGGGGCAGCGCAGAGCTAAATTGGAACAGAAGAAAAACACTCATATTAGGCAAAAAGATACCCAGCGATACTTAAGATGACTGGGAAGCTGGAGAATGAAATCAGAGAGTGTGACTAGTAAAGTACAGAAAACACAGCCCTGCTATGCAGCCTGCTTGAGTGTTTCTGCCTGGCTAGAATTATTGTTAATTATTAAAAATTCTTATATTAATTAATAAATTAATTTTGTGCAGGGCCCTATACCTGCAGGGTGAGCCACAAGATAAAATCAGAATATAAAATACAAAATGCATGATAAAAAGAAGAACAAGAACAAGCTAATAAAGCCACTTCCGAGTTCGAGAGGAGGTGGGGTTGCGGGCTTCACGCCCTCCCCACGTGCGCGGGGGCTGGCTCCCAGCCTCTGTGCCATTGAGGGAATCCTTGGCCACGTCATCTCCCTTGCCAGCCAATTGGCTGGCCTGGGGGAGGCGTGGTTTGTGCTATTTAGCATCAGCTAAATCTCCCTCTTTTGCTGCCGTAGCTCCTCTGGTTTCCCACCCACCCGCCCTTTAGGTTTCACAAGACCTTGCTATGGACTTCGGTTGGTCGCCATTAAGGGGCCTGGTAGGAATTTTTCCACTTGGCAAATTGGCACCAGGCACTTGGTTTTTTCGCCTACCTCGTAGCAAATCGTCACAACTTCCTGGGATTGGCAGTTAGGCATTGGTAGGGGTATTGTTATGTAGATGAGGGGGGAGGAAGTGCCATCACCTCCCCCAGATTGCGAAGGGTAGTCCGGTAAAGGATTCTGGGGGGCGTGGCCCTGTCCGAAGCCTATGGAGGTGAGAGCCTAAGGCATGCCCCCAAGCGGTGACCCTGGGGGAGTTCCTAGTTGATGTGCATCAGCAGGACTCCCCCCTACTGGCGGTTAACCCTTCCTGGTCTTCAAGCAAACAGGCTGAAGCCGAATAGTCGGTAGGACCAATGCCTAAGCCAAAACCGCTCATCACCTGTAAACAATAAAGTTGTGGCCATTTTTAGCCCATTAACCTAAATACTTGTGTCATGTGTCGTTATTTCCACGGGAGGCGGGGGGAGGCGGGAACTCGCCACGCAACGCCCCCTTCTACAACACATTTTAAAAGGGCATTGGATGTCAATCAGCCAAAGGCCTAGTTAAAAAGTAACATTTTTGCCTGATTCCTAAAGGTGTATAATTAAGGCAAACCTCCCTGCGGAGACCATTCCATAAATAGGTGGCCACTGCAGAAAAGGCCTATTCTCGTGTTGCTACCCCCGGACCGCTCATGGAAAATATATCCTTGAACTTAAATAATGTCTCTTGCTTGAAGGGGTGCATTTGTGTATGTGTGTATATTAGCCTACTGTCCAATGGTACAAATTACATTAAATGTTCCACCCCTGGAAGGTTATATGACACTATAATATAGTCAATTATAGAGGCTCCTACGTTTGATATGAACATGAATTCCCCAACCTTCTCCCCTTTGGTTTGCGACCATTCAATATGACCTGGTCCTGCTTGTTAGACAAGCGCAACAGGCGCATAGTTGCAACCCTTATCTTTTGAGTGCCTGATTTTTATAGAATGGGCTTCCTCTAAGATGGGTGGTGATTTGTGGAAGTGAGCATATAAGGCATCATCAGACTGCCCAATTCTAGCATTTAAGTCGCCTGCCACTATCACTAAGGCTGCAAGGAACTGATTCATCAGTTTGTCAATGTACGATTCCAGCCTAGACCAGATGTTTTTTATCAACTGCTTTCCTCTTTGAGGAGGAAGATATACTGTACATTAATTAGTAGCAGGCTATAGAATCTACATCTCACTAAAAGGGCTATGGGCAGGTGGTTCAGTGGCTCCAACTTTTCTAGGGTCACCCTCAGCCCCTGGAAGGTTTCCTACAAGGTTTCCTACAAGAGAATGACATTTGAGCTGAAAAGTTCTCCCCATCACCAGAAACTCATTCCTAGCCATTCTCAGCACTCTTAGCAAAGTACGGCTGCCAGGGTTTCTTGGGGGATGTCATGACTATCAAAGTAGCATATGAGGATTTGAAATGTATTGGGTGCATTTGACCATACACACCTTGGACTATGTCCCAAAGCCATAGGGAGTCAGATCAGAGCCTGCTATCCTTTCACCTCTCCAGTTAAAAGCACAGCACTGCTCAGTCCCCAGTACTTACGGCAGAAGGAAGGGCTCCTCCAGGGCTTGACCGAGACCTTGGCCACTTGGCAGGCAGACACATAGCTCTGGACGCTGTCGCACAACACCTTGCTGTCCCCGCCACCCAGGCACAGATCGTAGACGCAGTTGCTGAAGTATAGCCTGGGATCGACCTTTCCGTGGCAAGCACTGAAGGGGCCATCAGATGCAGTGAGGATCCCACAGTAGTGGCGCTGTTTGAAGACCTCCCTTTTCTTTTCCTCGCAGACTGGGCAGTCGCTTCCAGAGCATCCATCTGAGCAAGATTCAACTGCCCCACGGACCCGAACTTTCCAAGCAGCGCCAAACACAGCTACGTCAGAGGCTGTCTTGCCATTGGGGAGCAGGAAGTCGTCCTCCTTCTTCCCGTTGTAGTTCCCACACAGGCCTTCCACTTGGTTCTGGTAGGTGCTTGGGACTGTGACTTTTATGTCATAAACCAGGTCATAGGTCACAATGAGACCAAAGTCAATTTCTATCAGGACTTCGGTGCCATGCTGATAGACTCTGATCCGGTCAGCAGAAACGGTTATGGGGAGATTGTAGAACAGGCCATTCACCTGGGAGAAATAAACAGAACATCCTCTGGTTGAGTAGGGCTGGCTTCTTGCAAAAATGTTGGAAGAATGTTCATGAAGCATATGCAGGGACCCTATTTTATCCCACTACTCTGATATATTAGTCCAGGCATAGGCAAACTCAGCCCTCCAGATGTTTTGGGACTACAACTCCCATCATCCCTAGCTAACAGGACCAATGGTCAGGGATGATGGGAGTTGTAGTCCCAAAACATCTGGAGGGCCAAGTTTGCCTGTGCCTGTATTAGTCCCTTTCTGCGTGTTATAGACATGAGAGGAAGAGACTTTGTGTGTATGAGCTTACTGACAAATCAGGGGGCAATAAATATCTCTGATAACAAGGAGAGATTGAAGATCTACATTGAGAACTAGGGCAGGAGAGAATCAAAGGAACCTTACCTGATGGTTGAAGCGGTTATCAAAGGACACAATGGAGGTGGGAGGGTTCTGCTCTGAATCACGCCAGTCAGGTGCAAAGCCCAGGAGACTCCAGAGGGCAGCCCCACCATTTCCTTCTTAGAAGACGAGCAGTGCCTCCTACGCACCAAGAGGCCACTGTAGAGGACCATGGGGTGGGGGTTTCTGAGGATGCATCAGGTCTGGCCTTCAAGGAGTGTGCCGCAGCTGTTGTTGCTTCTGTGACAGCAGCAGCAGGCAATGCATTTTTGAAGGCCAGGTGTGCTGCCCCTATGGATCCTGCCACCTGAGGCCTTCCCTCATAGGTGAGCTTGTCCTGGTTATTGGACTCCAACTCCTCTCAGCCTTAGCCTGCAGAATCAATCGTCAGGTATAACAGGAGTTGGTCCCATCTGGAGGGACACAGGATCCCCATCTCTGTTTTAAGTGCTCTGCCCATTCATAAATTTACCAGAGACAGAATCGCAAGACTTTCCCCTCTCATACACTGATAGCTCCCAGTGCCAATCTGATCTTCTGCATAAGCATACAATCACACAGAAGCCCAGATTTCATTATTCATTCCTCTTCAAGAAAGGAGGGTAAGAATCATGCAAACAGAATGCTATTCGCATGGTGGAAGGGAGGGGCTCACACTGTTTTTTCCTATGATACTCAATTGGGAACACTGAGGCAGGAGATAAATTGGGTTTGGTTTTCATTTTTATGGAAAATCTACGTAATTTGTGCTTCCAGAAACCCTAAACAAAACAAAACACCTTTCTGAATTTTGCAATGCACTTTTCAAACCAAATTTGTACAAAAATACGTACAAGTGTCCTTTAATGCATACTTTTAAGGCTTCTTATTAGTGAAAACAACATACGAAACGCATCGTGGTAGGGAAAATTGATTGCAACAAAATGTATATTAAACAAATCTGCATACAAAACTTTGCATGTTAAGAGAACTTCTCAATAACGCAGACAGCTGAACTTAGGACTGGAAAAATTAGAAACTGAGAGAAACAGAAATTGGCAGATGTTTTCATGACTAATTGAATGAATGAACAAAGTCAATGCCTTAATGGAAAAAGGGGGTGGGGATAAGTAAAGATTTAAAGATTGTCCTCCCCTTTTAGCATGGACTCACCCGCACTTGACCGTCCTTGTTCTGTAGTAATGTGAGTGTCACGCCGTAGACCCTGACCGAGACCATCTTGGTGACAGACGCCTTTCCATCCGCCCAGGCCTCATTTTCCACATTGACAATAAAGGGATTCAAACCTCGGCTGTTTCCGCTGGCCCTAGCCAAGGTATAGATGCAGGTGCCTTGGAAGTCAAAGGCCAGTCCATCGAAGGAGAGATAGTGAGGGTCACCTGAAGCAGAACAGGTGGCGCTGCCAACTGGGTGGCATTTCCGAACGCCATCTGACAACCGGCATTCCTGATTGGGGCCACAGGAGAATGCAACACAGCTCACACTCCCCCCAGTTTGGCATGTGCAACGCTCCTGACACGAGGGGTAAAATGTATCTCCTGCCTGGTAGTATTGGCCTTGGTGGAGACAACCACACTGGAATTCTGGGATGCATCGATCACCACTCAGCACGAAGCCCTTGTTGCACACGCAGTCTTCCTGGCACTTAGTGGGACATGGGGCTGCAACACAGGTCTTGGCGCAGCCGCTAGCGCAGAGCTCGTAGTGGCTATTTGGAGCACAAGAAAGACCTACCAAAACGAAGCAAGGTGGTAAATCACTGGCAGGAAGAACATGGCTGAAAAAGCAAAGTTGACCTGCTAAAAGAGGTTATGGGCGGAGGGACATAAGGAGAGCCCTGCTGTATCTCAAAAAGGCTTCCAGCGTTCTGTTCTATTCTCAAAGTGGCCAATCAGATGATAATGCACTAGTAGGACAGAAGCACAATAGCAGTGTCCTACTTGTAATTCCCCTGCAGGGGCGCCAACTTCAATAAAATATCAGGGGAGGGCAGGTAAGCCCAACCCCACATAACTGATATCAGGTTGTGGTGCACACCCACCATTTGAATGGCAATTACTTGGGGGAGGCGTTCCTCTTCAAATATGTTATTGGGGGTCATGGAGGGACTTTGGACCTAGAAGAGGCGCTGTGTTCCACCTGACATGGGGAGGGGGTCATCATGCGCTCATGACGTCTAAAGTGTGACACATGTGTGATGTCACAGGCACTGGGAAGAGGCTGTGAGGCCTGATTAGGCCTGCCACCACTGTGCGGAGGCCCAGGAAGGCCTGACCTCTCAAGATGGGGGGGTGGCTCAGCCCTGTCCCCACATATTTTGTGCAGGGAGGAGATGTCCTCAACCCCATAGAGTTGGAGCCTATGGCCCCTAGGAGTTGGCTCCTATGTTCCCCAGCATTGTATGGACAGTTTGAAGGCAGATTCCAGGCTGTGAACTGGTCTTTGACCTATTACTCCCATCTGGGTCCATGCCCCACAAAACACATTTACATTTCCCCCCTTTTCAATGGTAGTATGTGCTATTTTTCATAGTGGGTGCCTCTACTGATTTACAAAAGTCCCCTGCTCCTTTGCAGCTGATCACTGAAGAAGTGAATGTTTGACCAAGGTGTCAGGTGGGGCAATCAGGAGCCCCTGGGGCACAGGCAAGGCAGCATTGCTTGCTTGGCTTGCCAATGTTGCATAAGCAAGGCTGCCCTGTCCAGGCCATGCCATTGGCCACTATTGGGGTCATTGCTACATCCAACCATCTGCTTCAAGGCAGATCATCAGCAGGGAGATTTTTGGACATAAGGTTTTACCCAAAATGGCACAGAAACAAAGTTAGTACAGTGGTACCTCGGGTTAAGTACTTAATTCGTTCCGGAGGTCCGTTCTTAACCTGAACTGCTCTTAACCTGATGCACCACTTTAACTAATGGGGCCTCCCGCTGCCGCCGTGCCACCGGAGGCCAATTTCTGTTCTCATCCTGAAGCAAAGTTCTTAACCTGAAGCACTATTTCTGGGTTAGCAGAGTGTGTAACCTGAAGCGTATGTAACCTGAAGCGTATGTAACCTGAGGTACCACTGTATATATATTTCAGAAGCAAAAGCAGTGTTGGTAACTTTGTGTGCCATTTCAGATAAATTACCATGTTCTATGAAGATCTGAGGAATTTCAGAAAACAGCTCAGGGCATTAGCACTTACTGCAGAAGGTGTCCAATCTCCAAGGATAGAGGTTCACCCCAGCTGCCTGGCACGCTGAAGCATAGCTGGCAATGACCTGGCAGATCACAGCTTGTTGGCCATCAAAGAAACAATAATTGTACACACAATCTTGGAAGTATCCTTCTGGATCCACTTTGCTGTGACATTCTCTGAAGGGGCCACTCTTGGCTAGGATGAGCCCACACTCTTTGTTGAGGCTCCGTTGACGCTTCTCGATGGTCAGCCGTGCAGGGCACTCTCCCTTGCCCCCCTCACTGCAGCCTGGCACCTCCCGCACTTTCCAGCTCTGACCAAAGTCTGATGGGTGCGGAGCCACTGTGCCATCTTTCATGGTCAGATCGTCCTGCTTGTTGCCATTGAAGTTCCCACAGAGACCACACAGGGCGCCATCGTAGCTGCTGGGCACAGTCACAGTGGCGCGGCTTTGCCAGTCAAAGGTGACGGTCATCTTGAAGTCTGTCTGGACCACTGCCTCTTGCCCTCTCTTGTATATGGAGATTCTGCCATTGCCGATGCTGAAGGGCAGGTTGGTCAGCAATCCATTCACCTAGAGCCCATTTTAAAAGGGGAACATTTCAGAAGTGCCTTTGTAATAGCCTTGCCAGTTAGCTCAGTTGGTTAGAGCGTGGTACTGATAATGCCAAGGTCACAGGTTTGATCCCCATATGGGTGCGTATTCCTGCACTGCAGGGAGTTGGGCTAGATCATTGTTTCTCAACCTGTGGGTCCCCAGATGTTGTTGGACTGCAACTCCCATCATTCCTAGCCAGCATGACCAGTGGTCAGGGATGATGGGAGTTGTAGTCCAACAACATCTGGGGACCCACAGGTTGAGAACTGCTGAGCTAGATGATCCATGGAGTCCCTTCCAACTCTATGATTCTGTGATACTTGATGTATCTGTGGCAGCTTTGCTTAGCCTTATGCATTCTGATCCTTGGGAGATCAATACTATCTGGAATGCATAAGGCTAGCCAAGACTGCTCCAGAGTACAGAGGTCAACAGCAAAACTTATCATTTGGGGTAGGAAATTCAACTCTTATAGTCCAATGCCCCTGGAATGCAGGATTTTTTTGTCCAACGTAATACTTCATTAAAAAAAATACTGCTGGAAAATAGATTTCATATAATCACAAAATGGTCTCTTTGCAAAAGCAATGAAAAATGGACACAGCCCACTCCATCTTTCTTCTAGGGCACTAGCCATGGAGAGGAAAGGAACCATGCCAAGAACAGTCATAGCTTGGAAGTCAAATAGAATTTGTTCCGGAAATCCGTTCGACTTTCAAAACGTTCAAAAACCAAATCGTGGCTTTTGATTGGCTGCAGGAAGCTCCTGCAGCCAATCAAAAGCCACAGAAGCCCCATTGTATGTTCGGCTTCCAAAAGAACATTCACAAACCGGGTTCACGGTGTTTGGGAACCAAAACGTCTGAGCTCCAAGGCGTTCAGCAAGGTACGACTTTACCTTAATTATCATAATAATCCCCTCCACTGTTCTCAGTAGTTTCCAACTGTGATGTTCCACATGAGGAGCCACATTCCCTTCTGGGCAACTTCCTGGGGAACCACATGCCACAGGTGGGAGGGGCCAAAAGCCAAAGTGGGCAGAGCAATGAATGCTAATTTTACCTTTGTACAGTAGGCTAGTTTCACATGTGCTCATATATCCCTCTTTATCTTTCTTCCATAAAAACATTATTAGGACTCAACGGACACATTCAAATCAGGAAAAGCACTCAAGGAGGTTACAGAGCAAGGTCAGGGAAGGCTATACCCTGGGGAGAAGTATGGCAGGGCAGGGAGAGTCCTGAGGGCCAGGAAGCCACTGTTGGGAGAGTCCTGAGGGCCAGGAAGACGTGGAGGGCTGCATTTGGTTCCCCACCTCAATGACTGGGCATTTGAAACATGCCACAGAGTGTGTGCAGAGTAGACCACACAAATGGAAACACTGAAGAGATGCAAAAATATCTTTGCATGGTTTAGTAAGAAAACTCCTCTAACATACATCTTACATAGTGTCCATAATGATCACCCATCCATCCACCAGGGCAGATTAAGCTACATACGGCACATTATACATCATCCACAATTGCTGACACAGCTAATTACAGTGACTTATCAGCACCTGCTACACTGCTACACAGCTGTAAAAACTAGGTCAGGACCCTGGCTTTTAAAGTGGCACACATCCTGTGGATACAATAACGAACCCTAACATTTAAACAAACTATTCATCAAAACTCACCACAACTTTTGCAGGGTTGTCTCTGCTGATCACAATGGATGCCCCATCAACCTTCACTTCTACAAGCCGGGTAAAGGACACAGACGGGCTGCCTCGATGGTCATTTTGGACGAGCACCTGGAAGTCAGCCAGGCCCCTCCGCTTCTCACACAGCGCAGCAAACTGATACACGCAGGTGCCTATGAAGTCAAACTTCTGGCCATCAAAGCTAAGGTAGTGGGGGCCACCGAAAGCAGAGCAGGTGGCATTCCTGGTAGGGGGAATGGTGGTGGTAGAGGAACTGGGGGTTGTGGGGATTGTGGTGGCAGGATTGCTGGTGGGAGGCTGCATGAAAGGGTAACAGTCCTGGACTCCATTCTGCACCTCACACCGCTCCCAGCTTCTGCAGCTTGTTGCCCAACACCTCACATCTCTGGTTTTTGCATCACAGACGCAGCGCTTTGTGCATGTCTTGTCTGCCCAGAACTGCTCACCGGGGGAGAAGGCGTCCCCCTCAAACACACACCCACAGACCGTAGTGGGAATGCATTCTCCTTCATCCAGCACAAAGCCCTTATTGCATTGGCAGCCCCCCACACAAGGCAACGAGGAACAGTCCTTGGGCCCAACTGTGTCGCTGCAGGTGGCCGGGCATGGAGACCCACAGGCTTCATAATGGCTGTTCTCAGGACAGGATTTTGCTGTCAAAAGATAGAAGATCCCAGTTAACGGTGCAAGATCAAACTATTAAAAGATAGTCCTCGACAGTGCTCTGAATTCTTTTAGCCTAAAGTGGGTGGCACTGTGGGTTAAACCACAGAGCCTAGGGCTTGCTAATCAGAAGGTTGGTGGTTCGAATCCCCATGACGGAATGAGCTCCCATTGCTCTGTCCCTGCTCCTGCGAACCTAGCAGTTCGAAAGCACGTCAAAGTGCAAGTAGATAAGTAGGTACCGCTCTGGCGGGAAAGTAAAGGCGTTTCCGTGCGCTACTCTGGTTTGCCAGAAGTGGCTTAGTCATGGTGGCCATATGACCCGGAAGCTGTACGCCGGCTCCCTCAGCCAGTAAAGCGAGATGAGTGCCGCAACCCCAGAGTCGGCCACGACTGGACCTAATGGTCAGGGGTCCCTTTACCTTTACTTTTTACCTCCCAAACATAGCCTCATATGCATCTTCCTGAGCTGCTTGAAGGAAGTCTTCTATGCAGATGTGCTAATATACCCTCCCTTTGCCTTCCTTGCCCATATAACTCAATTCCTCTTCTGCTGCAACATGGAAATAGCCATAAAGATCAATAAGAGCAACTTTTCCTGCTGCTGCTACTACTACAACCACCTATATCAGGAATGAGGAACCTGTGCCTTGCCAGATGTTGCTGGACTACAATTCCTATCATCCTTCACTATGGGTCATGTTGACTGGAGATTATGGGAGTTGAACATCATCCAGAGAGCCACTGGGTCTCTATTCCTGATTTATACAGTAAATTATATGTGCAACTTAGGATACTTACCACAAGAGCAAAGGGCCACAGAGCCATAGCCATCAGCAAATGCACCTCCAAGGATGAAGAGCCCAAAAGGAGTGCTGGGATGCTCTACAGAGAGGGCACTGGCTTCTTTGCCCAAGCTAAGTTGACTGAAAGAATACTCTGTTCCAGGGATGCGTGTCCACTTGGCATTTGTAATGGCTCTCTTCTCTAATGTGATCCCATTTGAATCTAAGGTTTTTGCTACGATGACAGCAAAATTATCAAACTCCTTAATCCCATCAATGTGATATGATGTGCAATAGGTTTTTAAAGCAGGAACGTTGATGAGGAAAGGGTCGTATTTCTTGCTGTTACCAACAAAGAAGAAAAGGACCTGGATTCCTGCATTGGCAGAGAAGAAATAGGACTGGGATGGCTGCATTTGAAACTGGATGACTTCCCCAGCCACCGCACGGCGGGAGTTTGGAGTGGCCCCAGACTGGTATTGGATCAAAGTGTTATCTTGGGAAGCGACGACATACACAATGTCAGTCTGAGTTTGGAAGGGCACTGGGGGAACTATGAAGGTGGTGCCCCAGCTGGAAACAGGCAAGAGCTGCTCAGCAACATGGTCGCAAGCTGAAAACTGCTGGACACAGCTGTGCCCACTCAAAACAGCCACGGGCGCAACTGATTCAACCTTGCTGCCAGACAAATCAGCTGAGCTTTGCAGCTGGATTGCTTGGAAGGCTTTGAGGTCAGCAACAAGCCTGCTCCCTGCAGCATAAACCTTCCCTTGGAATGTCACAGCCCCTTTCAGGTGAATAGTGACTTGAGTGGGGAATTCATAGGCTACAACTGCAAATTCCTTGAAAGTGCTTGCCATATCCCCCACTGGTGTTACCACATAATATGATGTGCCCAACTGATGAGTTGGGTACACAATTGTGGTAGCACTTGTGGAGCTCCTGTAATTGTGGGAAACAACTGAGATCTCTTTGTCGGCTTGAATCCACACAGCTCCATCAAAGATGTCAGTCCCCTTCATCTCCAAAGAGGTTGGGACCTCAACTGACACTGTCTGCTTATTGACAGAAACCTTTTTATTGAATGTAGACTTGTTCGCTGTGACCGTGACGGTTGTTGCAGGATGATATCCAGTGATAAGCAACTCAAACTTAGGATTGGGTTGACTTTCCAAGTAGTTCTGAAGGAAGGCTGTGACAAATTCCTCCCCACAGGAACTTGCTCCACAATACCCTGAAAGGCATAATTAACAAAGTGCAATTAGCTTGCAGCTTGCGCAGGGATTACATTCTGGAGATAGTGCATAAAGCTGAAATTCTGTATAGTTAAAACAATCCTCAGAACCAACTTTTCATGAGAAATCTTACCTTTCCAGAACAGTGCACCAACTGGGCCTTGCCCCCCATGTAGAGCAGATAGTTTCTGAGCTCTTCAAGTTGTTTATTGGGCTCTCGGAGGTTCTCGCAAGATCTTTGATAGCCCCACAAGATCTTCCAGGAGCCTCCCAGAGCCCGGTAAACAATGTGGAAAACTTAAAAGCTCTTTCTGCATTGGGAAAACCAAACACAGAAAGGTCTTTTAAGCTCTCTACCTTGTGTGCTTTTAATGTGTGATGTTTCAGATGGTTGCTAAACATGTAAAGCTGCACAAAGTTCAACACAGCTCAATACGGTGCCATAATCACATGGTGTTGTAGCATTTGAAATATTGTGTACTCCTCTGACTATATTCTCATAGGACAGGACAATTGTGATAATGGAATCAAAATTATTAATTAAAGGAATCCTTTAATAATGCTACTTGGTTATATCAAGGATGTGGCATTTCAGGAAGCTAAACAAAATGGGTATTAATCTTTTAATAGCAGCTCACATGCATGGCCTAAACATGAGGAAAAAATGATGATGATTTATTTATACCTGGTTTCCCCAGCCACTCTGGGCGGTTCCAAACAGAGCAATTTATGCAGCTCTCTACACAAACTATTGCAAGCAAAGTGACTTCTAAGCATCTGAATTAGAAACCTGGATGATTAAATTTTGGGATTTAATAAAGATGGCAAAATTTAAATATATAATTAGGGCCAGGAAAGGGAGGCAAAGAGATAATTGCTTTATTGAAAAACTGAGGGTTTTTAAAAAAATGTCATATGGGAATGAAAGTATAATAATAATAATAATAATAATAATAATAATAATAATTTATTATTTATACACCACCTATCTGGCCTGGGTTTCCCCAGCCACTCTGGGTGGCTTCCAACAAATGATTAAAAATACATTAAAACATCAGTCTGGAAGATGATGGAAGTATGGAAGATGACTTGAACCCTGAAATGTTCAACACTGCTACAAACACCAAGCCTTAACAGATGAATAATTGCTGCCTCTTTTATCTGTTAAAGCTTGGTGTTCATAGCAGAGTGTTAAGTGACCTGAAAAAAGACACACTGCAGAGTTATACTTTGCAAATACTTGGCTGCAGGGATGAAGAACTGGTGAACTCCAGATTCTAATGGACTACCACTATCATCCCTGAATATTGGCTGTGCTGTCTGGGGCTGATCATTATTACTATTCCCACCCTATGGAGGTGGCCCATGAAGAAGGGCCTCAGATGATAATCACAGGGTCTGGGAGCTGAGCATCATCGGCCATAGGCTCCCCACCACTGCAGGGGAAGGGCATGTTTTCCCCCACAACAAACAGGATATTGGGCTCTGTGCCAGATATCCATCTCCGTGCACTGTATGCTTTTGTCAAGGGGAATTTGCCAGGCTCTGAGTGAGTTATTGTTCTGCCAACATCTCTAATTGCCCCGAAGAGGTCACACCCACACCATGCATCTGTAGTACCCTTATACAGTGGTACCTCTAGTTACAAACTTAATTCGTTCCGGAGGTCCGTTCTTAACCTGAAACACTTCTTAACTAGAGACGTGCTTTTGCTAATGGGGCCTCTTGCTGCCGCTGTGCCGCCGGCACGCAATTTCCGTTCTCATCCTGGGGCAAAGTTTTCAACTCAAGGCAACTCTTCCAGGTTAGCAGAGTTTGTAACCTGAAGCGTTTGTAACCTAAGGCCTTTGTAACTTGAGGTACCACTGTACTACTGTTAGTTATGGCTTCCCCCAAAGAATCCTGGGAACTGTCATTTATATATTCTAAGAGTGCTGGGACTTGTACCTCTGTGAGGCGTAAGGTATGCAGTTCAATTGTTCTTTGGGAGAGAGTTGTGACCAGGTACAAAACTGGAAGGAGTTTCTGTCTAGATGGGTAAACCTGCAAGTTCATAGTTAATTCCAAACTGGACTTCCGGAGGCGGCGCGAAATGGCAATGGCGGTCCTCTTCGCGCTGTGAAGGGGAGCTCCGCAGAAAAGGGTCGCCTGCTACGGCAAAGCGGGGACCCATAAAGAAAAACCACAGGTAGAGTGAGCCTGTGGCCGTGGGACTCGGTGGGCACCAGAAGCCCCCCCAGAAACGAAGAAGGAACCCCGTAAGGGGCTCCGGAACGCGGAAGGGGGAGCGGTGCTGTGAGTTCATCGCTCTTTCTGCGGAAGCGAAGCCGCGCGGCTGCTGCCGATGAGCACCGACCTTTCTTCTTGGAACATCAGACCCTAAACTACAAACCCGTGAGTAGGGGAACTTAAAATTTCGGGGCTAAAGAGATTGAATTTGGCCGAAAACGGGAGATGCAACCAGGAAGTCCGTCTTCCCATCATGCTTAAAAGATCAAAGTAAAGACTCTAATAAGCTGGAATTAATTCAAAAGGATTTTAAAAGGGTGGATTTTCGTGCAACAATTGACTTTGATTTTAAGAGATTAAGAGAGACAAGCTTGCTTTACTCTTGTGGACTTTGAACTGTACTTTTCCCCTGTTTTACGGATTTATAAATGTGGAGTAACCCAAGTTCATGGGCTGCCAGGTCGAAAGAACTACCAAATTGCTGAAACTGTTTAAACATTGAAAGTGTTAGATCGGAGCGTTATAGCTTGGATACAAACGGGGAAACTGTTTCCCGCACCTCTTTAAAGACTTTGTTTCAACTTTGGGAAAGTTCTGCACTTCAAAAGGGACTTGAAGGATCCTTTTAAAGTGTTTTAAACCACTGGGACTTTAATGGCGGAACGACTTTATTCTTTCCTTTGAGACATTGTTGTACTCCCCCTAGAGGACTTTGGATTTACAACTGCCTGGGATCTATTTTTTGTTTTGACTTTCTGCTGCCTTGTTGTTGACTCTCTGGAACTGTCTTTCTCATGGGATTGTATATAACCTGACCTTGGCACGTAGACAGGATTGGAATGAGTGGCACAGGAAAACCAAGATTGGCTAAAACGAAAGCTAAACAACTGGTACAAACAACTTTGACATCTCAGCCATCTCAGCCTCGTAGATCATCTGTCCCAGCTGTTTTAGGGGTATAAGAAGGAGTAGGTGTCCCAGCTGTTTTAGGGGCACAAGAAGGAGTAGTTGAGCAGACATCATCAGAGGATATGGCTGCAGGAGGATCTGCAACAGTATTAGAACAAATTTTGGGACAATTGCAAATTTTAAATAAGAAGGCAGAGGAGCATTCTGTTAAAATTGACCAAGCCACAGCCACTATTAGTAAATTGACAGAACAAGTTGCTCAACATACACAAGAAATTGGGAATCTTAAGGAAGCTACAGCAGAAAATCGCAAATTGGCCGAGGAGGCTAACCAAAAAGCCGTGGAAGCCAATCAAAAGGCCGAGGCAATACAGGTGGAGGTTAAACCTTTGCACAAACAGATTACTGAACAGCAGGCCTACCTGTCTATGATTGAACTGAGAAATAGGGAAAATAATCTCAGATTGAGAGCTATCCCAGAACTTGAACAGGGGGACTTAATTGGCTATTTGACATCGGAATTTTCAAAGTTCTGGGCTATAGAAGAAGACAAGGACTTTAAAATTGCAAGTGCTTTTAGACTGGGAAGAGTGGTGAGGAAGGACAGAACCAGAGATTGCTTAATCATTTTAGGATCCAAGCAAGAGAGAGACAAAATTCTAGGCCTTCATTTTGAAAAACCACTTGACTTTCAAGGCACTAAAGCAGAAATTTACAAAGATATTCCGAAACAACTTTTGGATCTCAGAGCCACGTATAAGGAATTAACAAGACTACTGAAAGGCAATTTAATTCCCTTTAGGTGGGAATTTCCTCAAGGATTATCTTTTACCTTCAAAGGAAAGAAGGTCAAGATCAGGACAGCGGAAGACCAACAAAAATTTTTACACGATCACGAAGAGGACCTTCAGAAAGGAACTGTAGGACCTGGGTCTTGGCCACCACCAGACCCGGCATCTCTACCCTCGGGTCAAGAAGACCAAGAGAAGGAGACGCCACCACAAGGCTAAAAGATTGATCCAGGATATCTCTGCAGCTTCTTAGCTGGAATATAAATGGAGGAAACTCCCCGGAAAAAAGGAAAAGAATATTTCATATATTGAAGAAAGAACAATTGGACATTATTTGCTTGCAGGAAACTCATGTGACTAGGCTCCATAGAAAGGTGTTAATTAACAAAAGACTAGGCCAAGAATTTATTTCATCGGACAGAGTTAAAAAAAGAGGAGTGGTGATTTATGCAAAGGAGAGCCTATCACCAAAGTTTCTATTTAAAGATGAGCAAGGAAGAATTTTGGCAATTGAGATTCAGACACAAGGAGAAAAGTTCTTGTTATTAGGAATATACGCACCGAATGAGGGGAAATCAGAATTTTACAAGAAGCTGCATGAGACTATGTTGGATTATCTGGACTATAGCAACATCATTATGATGGGAGATATGAATGGGGTGGTCTCCACAAATATGGACAAGTCACAAAATCAAAGTTTAACAAAAGATGGCAGACTACCTAAAACCTTTTTTGAATTAACTGACAATATGGACTTGGTTGACATCTGGAGGACAAAGAACCCCCTAGGGAAAGAAGGAACATTCTTTTCTGAAGCCCATCTGTCATGGACAAGGATCGACCAAATATGGATAACTAGAAGTCTGGCACCCAAGACTAGAAAAGTGGAAATCTGCCCAAAAACCTGCTCCGACCATAACGCTATGAAAGTGGAAATGAGACTGATTCCAATCGGTTCCTTCAGATGGAAGATGAACGACACCCTGTTAAGAGATCAGGAGATTGTGAAGAAGGCCCAAAAGACTTTAAAAGACTATTTTGAAATAAATTTGAACACCACAGTGGAAAAAAGAGTAATCTGGGACGCAAGTAAAGCCGTTATGAGAGGGTTTTTGATACAACAGAACACGATAAAGAAAAGACTTTGGAATGAAAAGAAGGATAAGATCTTAGAGAAGATAAAAGATGGTGAGAAAAAATTGAGATCAAAACCCAAATCACAGGAGGTTCTGAGAGAAATTAAATTCCACCAAGCACAATACGCTAAATTGATAAACCAAGAAGTTGAGTGGAAAATCAAACTAATGAAACAAAGATCATTTGAATCAGCAAATGTGTGGGAAACTGCTAGCATGGCAGTTGAAAAAGAGACAAAAATTGAATACGGTCACAAACTTAGAGATTGAAGGGAAAAATATTCAGAAACCCGAGGAAATTAGAAAGTGCTTCCAAAGATACTTTAAACAACTTTATACGCAAGGGCCGCAGAAAGAGACGGAGATAGACCAATTTTTAAAAACCAATGGATTACCAAAATTATCCCAGGAAAAGAGAACAATCCTGAACTACAAGATAACACAACAAGAAATCAAGGGTGCTATTCAGAACATGCAATTAGGTAAATCTCCAGGGCCTGATGGACTCACCTCCAAGTACTATAAGACATTGAAAGACTTTTTGATACAACCACTAATGGAGGTTTGCAACCAGATTATGGAGGGGAAGAAGGCACCGGAATCGTGGAAAGAAGCTTTCATCACATTGATACCTAAATTGGAAACTGAAAAGACACAACTTAAGAACTACCGTCCCATCTCTCTCCTAAATGTGGATTATAAAATTTTTGCTGACATTTTGGCAAGTAGACTCAAAAAAGTATTAAATGAAGTAATTCACAAGGACCAGGCAGTCTTTCTCCCAGGTAGACATTTGTTTGCCAACACTAGAAACATCATTGATATTTTGGAACTTTTACAAACAAATATGAATACAAGAGCAGTGTTGATTTTTATTGATGCTGAGAAGGCCTTTGACAATATTTCTTGGAAGTTTATGAAGAAAAACCTTGAAGGGATGGGAGTGGGACGGGGGTTTGAAAATGGAATAGAGGCAATCTATTCAGAGCAAAAAGCTAAATTGATAGTTAACAATGTGGTGACAGAAGAGTTCAAAATTGAAAAGGGAACACGACAAGGTTGTCCTATATCCCCTCTGTTATTTATCTTAGTCTTGGAGGTACTTCTGAACATGATTAGGGAGGACCGGTTGGTGCAAGGAATACAGGTCGGAGCGAAACAATACAAATTAAAAGCGTTTGCAGATGATTTGGTTTTAACATTACAGGAGCCAGAATCTAGTACGAAAAGAGTTTTAGAACTGATTTATGAGTTTGGTCGGGTGGCGGGATTTAAATTGAACAAGCAAAAAACGAAGGTTTTGGGAAAAAATTTGACACCTTTGGAATCAGAAAGGTTTCAGAAAGAAACAGAGTTAAATGTGGTTAAAAAAGTGAAATACTTAGGGGTTAATTTGACTGCTAAAATTTGAACTTATACAAGGACAATTATGAAAAATGTTGGTCAGATATCAAAAGGGATCTAGAAATTTGGTCAAGATTGAAACTTTCCTTGTTGGGTCGAATTGCTGCTATAAAGATGAATGTATTGCCAAAGATGTTGTTTTTGTTTCAAACCCTACAGATTGTGGACAGAGTGGAATGTTTTGGAAAGTGGCAGAAAGATATTTCTAAATTTGTCTGGCAGGGCAAAAAGCCCCAAATAAAATTTAAAATACTAACTGACGCAAAAGAAAGAGGGGGGTTTGCCCTGCCGGACTTAAGGTTATATTATGAAGCTGCGGCTTTCTGGAGGCCAAGGCCCGGAAAAGACCCAATATGGAGGCCAGTTGGCCAAAATATTGGGAAATAATAGAGAAAATTGGAGAAAATTGGAGGTTGCAGAGCTTGGAGAAATTAAAGAGTAAGGTGTGAGATTGGCTACATTACGCTCAAATTAAAGAGGTTTTTAATTTGGATAAAAAGATAGGATTCCAGGTGGAAAAATCGAAATTAGAGACAAAACTGTTAGAACCAAAGACTAAGGTACTTTCGAGAATGTATAACTTGCTGCTTAAATGGAATACTCAGGATGAGACAGTTAAATCAGCCATGATAAAATGGGCTCAGGATATTGGGCATAACATCATGTTTGAGGACTGGGAAAGGTTATGGACCACCGGAATAAAATTCACGGCATGTAATGCCTTGAAGGAGAATATTATGAAAATGATATATAGGTGGTACATGACCCCAGTCAAGCTAGCAAAAATATATCACCTGTCTGATAATAAATGTTGGAAATGTAAGGAGGCTGAAGGAACATTTTTCCATCTCTGGTGGACCTGTCCAAGAGTGAAGGCCTTTTGGGAAATGATCTATAATGAGTTAAAAAAGGTATTTAAATATACCTTCACGAAGAAACCGGAGGCCTTCCTCTTGGGCATCGTCGGCCAGAAAGTGTTGAAAAAAGATAGAACTTTCTTTATGTATGCGACTACAGCAGCAAGGATACTTATTGCAAAGTATTGGAAGACACAAGATTTACCCACACTGGAAGAATGGCAGATGCAATTGATGGACTACATGGAATTGGCAGAAATGACTGGCAGAATCCGAGATTGGGGAGAAGAAACAATGGAAGAGGACTGGAAAAAGTTTAAAGACTATTTACAAAAACAGTTTAAGTTGTATGAATCTTAAGAAATTGCGCGATTCAGGAAAATATGGTTCCAGTAAATTTATGGTAAATTCAAGTTACAATTAATTGATAATAATTATTCTAGGCTAAGAAACTTAACATCTGAGAAGTACAAAATAAGGTATGACACAAGGTAATAATTTGCTGATAATTTTTATTGTTAAGAACGCAGGGTAAGGGAGATGTGAGGAAGTCCAATAAGTGATATAAAAAAGTTATGAAAAGTTTTCTTTTTCTTTTTTCTTTTTCTTTTCTTTTATGTATAATGTTGTTGTATTTGTGCGTTTAATATGTGTTTTATGTTTGAAAATTTAATAAAATATTTATTTTAAAAAAAAATCCAAACTCACCACATAGGAATGCCAACCAGGTCCAAAGCAGTAGCTGTTTCCTTGCCATGGCTACAAGACAGCAAAATAAAGTAGTTCAGATATTATGATTCAGGGTACAATTCAGTCCCCACCAACCCACCCTGGCTCTGACCATCTGGTTCAAGCATCTCCTTTTACCTATCACTGGTAAACTCCACTCCCCAAATCTCTTGGCAGTAAAGAAATATGTATTTGTTTATGTCAGTCTGCATTTCTTGATACAGAAAGTATTGATCTGATGTGTAGAGAGCTTTCCTGTTCTAATTCATTCAAAAGGGTTCTGGGAGCTTCTATGTGTGAAAGAAACTGGTGTTGACACGTAAGTTTCTATTCTGCCTAGAAACAAGCAGGTTCATGATGTTTGGGTTATTGCTTCAGAGAAGCTGAGTACAGCTGGCTTAAACTGGTTCTGTTATCTTTTTCTGTCAAGGTCATGCTGGCTATAATAATAAGACCAGAAGGAGCCCGGGTTTCACTTTCTATCTCTCTTTCCTTCTGGTGTGGTGTTCTGTACATAGGATGCTTCATGTTATGGTTTTAGTCTTACTATAAGTTATTGTAAATTTAAGTTAAGTCTCTTGCAACTGGATTTCTTATGGACTGTGCCAATCCTGAATGTATTGGATCAGTGACCATTACACTCATTTGCCTTCAGCAGCAGTAAAGCTCTGCTGGATGAAATATTAATCACCTCTGGTCTATTTTGGGAGGAATCCTGCAATGTGTTTTAAGTTTTTACCCTGCTAACTATACGTTGGAATCTCCCCTACTCAATATGAGTAGAATTTCATGACAGTTTATTGTAATAATCGGCAAAATGGGACATCCCATGATCCAATCAGAAGTCAAGATGGCTTCTGTAATTCTGGGGTGTCCCAGTCAAATCAGAACAGTTAGCAGTATGGCCGTGATAGGGACAGCCCTGATGTGAATCGCTGCAAGGTTGCTCAGTATTCCCAAGCTCAATTCTTCTTCTTGTCTCTAGTTTCATATCTGTGGCTCTCTGGGCCTGGCCACCCTCCAGAATGCATAGGTTTACATGATGTGGCACACTGCCAAAAACGCAACTGGAGATGGAAATCTGTGCTTGTGGCGGTCGTGGAGGAAAGGAAGAGTGAGTTTTATTAGGCTAGTGAAATGTATTAATGTTTTCCCAGGACCGAGCAATTAACTAGTTTGCATGCTTCGTTAGCTCTGAAATAAATGGCCCTGCAACAACTGCCTGATAACAGGGAAACTGTTGGACTTCAGTGGAGTAGCATACAGGCAGAGAATGCTTTTTCTGCAGTGTGGGCTGGCACCAAAGAGGGTTGCAGTGTGCCATGTTCAGGGGTACAAAAGGGAGATGTAGTCCATAACATTATTGGTTACAACAAGGCATGGGGCTAGTATTGGTGATGAGAGAGCCTGACTGATATCCGATGCTGTGCCCACAGCCCATTTGCTAGGGCCCCACCAGGGAGCTGCTTATTATCTTCCTAAATACATGAAAATGTAAGGTGTCACAGTTTGTGTGGCTGCCAGTAGGTGACCACACCCCTTGCAACATGAGGAGAGGCAGGCAAACCAAGGAAAGCTGTTTAATGTCAGAGGAGAGGCTCTTCACGCAGCAATATTATTATTATTATTATTATTATTATTATTATTATTATTATTATTTCATTTTATATATTTATACAGTGGTAACTCAGGTTAAGAACTTAATTTGTTCTGGAGGTCCGTTCTTAACCTGAAACTGTTCTTAAACTGAGGTACCACTTTAGCTAATGGGGCCTCCCGCTGCTGCCACGCAATTTCTGTTCTCATCCTGAAGCAAAGTTCTTAACGCGAGGTACTATTTCTGGGTTAGCGGATTCTGTAACCTGAAGCGTCTGTAACCCAAGGTACCTTTGTCCCAAGTTAGGATTCAAAGCAACGTACAACATTTAAAGAAACACCCAATATAAAATACGGAATAATAAGCCCTGGATATGAGCCCCATCCACCACTGATATGAAGCTCTTGGAAAGTTGCCTGTGAGCGAATATGACATTCATGCTGGAGAAGGTTCCGCATTTCTGAACTTTGGGATTGCGTTTTGAAATATTGTTTTGGTATGTTGAATTAGTATCCTCGTTGAATTGCTCAGGAAGTAGAGTGGCAGAAGTCTTTAAAAATAATGAAGCAAAGAAGCAAGCACTATATTGTTGCAGTGAAAGAACTCTACAATGTTGTTGCTGTTGTTGTTGTTATTTTAAAAATGAATTTAAAATTACCTTCTGGTCACCATAATTATGGTTAATGGTGGTGACCAGAAAAGGTCCCTTAGCTCAGGTACGGCCTTGGTTGGCTTCATTTAGCAGAAGTGGTTGACAAAAAGAACCCAAAGCAATATCTTACCTTCAGCCCTTCAGTAGACCTGTTGCGGCACAGCGAAGGAGAGAAAGGGAGGGTTCTGCCCACCCACCCCTCTATCTCTTCACCGTTCGTTCCCTTTTTATAAGGACGAGGTGTCTTAAGTAAGTCCAGTTCCACCAAACTGTAGAGGAAGTTCTTCACTAATTTAGAAGCAGCCGTAGGGACACTACAAAGGTCAAATAATGGTAGGATAGAGAATATGAAACCATTGTTGCACATATAATTCAGTTGTGAACTTTGGCTGATCCTGCCCTCCACCCAAAATCTTATCTCTCTCTTCTTTCTGCACACACCCAGTTCTAATTTATGTCTGAAAAGGCAGGATATTGGGAAAGAGATCACGGGGACTGCTCATTCACCTTGATCTTTCAGCGACTTTTGATACTGTTGACCATTGTATCCTACGGGTGCATCCCAAGGGTTTGGGGGTTGTGGCAACTGTGCTTCAGTGATTCCATTACTACCTCCAGGGCCGTTTCACGTAACTAGCTATGGAGCGAGAGATGTTCTGCAGTGTCCTACACAGTTCCAAGTTCTGGATTCAACACCATCACTGAAGGCTCAGGTGAGCTCAGTGGCTAAGGGTGGCTTTTTTCACCTCTGGCAGGTTCACCAGTTGTGACACTATTTGGACAGAGATGACTAGGTCATTGTACTTCCTGCTCTGGTAAGTTCTAGGCTTTTTTAAATTATTTTTTTGAAATGCACTGTACGTGGGGCTGCCCTTGAAGATGACTCAAAAAAACTTCAATTGGTACAAAATGCAGCAATCAGATTATTGGCCCATCTCACATAAGCCCTGTTTTAAAACAGCTGGGCTGGTTGGCAGTTCATTTGCAGGCCCAATTCAAGGTGCTCACATTTGTGTTTAGGGCTTTAGAAGACTCAGAGCCCAAATACCTAAAAGGCCACCTCCTGCCCTACAGGTGGAGCACGCAGGTGCTAAGGTCAGCAGATGGGGCCCTCTGGATTGTCCCACTGCCCTCAGAAGCTTGGGGTATGGTGACCCAGGAGAGGGCCTTCTCTGGGGCAGCTGTTAAGTTTCCTCAGAAGTGCATCTGGCACATTCATTATACAGCTCTTGGCAAATGCTCAAGACATACCTCCTTACCTCCTGACCCCAACTTTTGATACTTGAGTCCACAATACCACGGACCGCCTCTTTCCATGTGAGCCTACCTGCAGGGGCATAGGATGGGGGCAGGGGGTGGTCTTCCCCGGTTGTTATCCCAGAGAGGGGTGACAAAATCCACCCTGGGCGGATTGCTGCATGCCGCGCACGCCCCTAGGTGGGTCGCTGCGTGCCAGTCACCCCCTGGGTAGATCGCTCCGCCCCTGAGGGCCGCTCTGGGTGCCCGAACAGCTAGCTCTGCCACTGCCTACCCAGACCCTGAGATCATCTTCTGAGGCCTTCTTTGTATGCCTCCTCCTCGAGAGGTCTGGAGGGTGGCAACACAAGAACAGGTCTTCTCTACAGTGGCTCCCCATCCGTAGAATCTTTCCCCCAGGAAAGTTCACCTGGCACCTTATACACCTTTAGGTGCCAGGTAAAAAAATTTCTTTTTAACCAGGCCTTTGGTTTATCTGATTTACATCCTAGGCCCTTTAAAAAAAAATGGGGGGGGGCTATTGAGTTGTTGTTTTTGTTTTTATTATGTATTTTGTGAATTTATTTCTTGATTTTGTTCTGTGAACTGCCCTGAGACCCCCAGGTATATGGCAATATATTAATTCAGTAAATAGTAATAATAATATTTTTAGTACCCACCTTATTTCTGTAATTTAAAGTTGTTTAAAACTGTTTTTAATGTTGTGCTGTAATTGTTGTAAGCCGCCCTGGGTGTTTTTAACCCATGGGTAAAGTCAGAGCTGTAACAGGTAAGTGAGCCATTTTGTGTTACAATAATAATAATAATAATAATAATAATAATAATAATAATAATAATAATTTATTTGTACCCCACCCATCTGGCTGGGCTTCCCCAGCCACTCTGGGCAGCTTCCAATTTTTTTAAAAAAACATTCTAATACATCAAACATTAAAAGCTTCCCTGAACAGGGCTGCCTTCAGATGTCTTCAAAAAGTCTGGTAGTTGTTGTTCTCTTTGACATCTGGTGGGAGGGCATTCCACAGGAAGGGCGCCACTACCGAGAAGGCCCTCTGCCTGGTTCCCTGTAACTTGGCTTCTCGCAGTGAGGGAACCGCCAGAAGGCCCTCGGTGCTGGACCTCAGTGTCCGGGTAGAACGATGGGGGTGGAGACGCTCCTTCAGGTATACAGGACCGAGGCCGTTTAGTGCTTTAAATGTCAGCACCAATACTTTGAATTGTGCTCGGAAACGTACTGGGAGCCAATGTAGATCTTTTAAGACTGGTGTTATGTAGTCTCGGCAGCCGCTCCCAGTCACCAGTCTAGCTGCTGCGTTCTGGATTAGTTGCAGTTTCCGGGTCACCTTCAAAGGTAGCCCCACGTAGAGCGCATTGCAGTAGTCCAAGCGGGAGATAACCAGAGCATGCACCACTCTGGCGAGGCAGTCCGCAGGCAGATAGGGTCTCAGCCTGCGTACCAGATGGAGCTGGTAAACAGCTGCCCTGGACACAGATTTGACCTGTGCCTCCATGGACAGCTGCA